AGTGACGCGATCATTGGATCTAGTAAATGGAGTTCAACATGTTGTTCATCGGTCAATCATACACAATGAAGAGAAAAGGAAAAAGAATGAGCTGATTGTATGTTGATGATGATGATGATGGTGGTGGTACAGTTAAAAGAAAGAAAGGACAGAAGAACAAAAAAAAAAGGTGGAGAGACAGATGCCAAGTTAACGATCTCGAACATATCTTATCAGCAAGCAAAAGAGCTTATTGACAATAGAGTATCTGAAGTTGGTGATTGCTTCTGTTTTTTTTTGGTTATAGGTCAGCTCATATTCTTTGTATACTATTAGAAAGATTAGCAATTCTTTTTATGTTATGTCCTTGTTTCAAATAAACTTTGTTGTCGAGGATTCAATACTAAAGATTATATCATACAAACATACATACATATACTCATTATCCCTTTATGTCTGTATTCTATCAAGAAAGAAATGGCTAAAGAGTGAAAATATCCAACTTTCTCTTGTTCTCATACTGAGCAATCATCGTCGGAAGCACAAGAAGAAGAAAAAAAGGGGAAGAGAACAACAGCTGCCCATAACAAACATGTATGAACAATGAACGATCGATCGATCTGTCTATTTATCTAGAGAGCGGGAGAGAAAAGATAAAGATATTACATATGTATAACTTATATTTAATAATAATTCTATTTTTTCTTAAATTTTTAGTTAAGATACAAAATAATTGATAAAATGAAGTAATCAATAGATACGTATATATATATATATATCGTATTATTATGATTAATCAAAAGGTTATGATGATACAACTTTGTTCTTTTCATTACGAAGATAGATAACGAAGAACAGATTTGATCAATATCGAAGAGAACAAATAAATATATCTAAGAAACAAAGAGAGCAGAAAGAAAGAACAATTTCTACCTCTCTTCCTATCAATGGTCATTCGAATGGTCAAATGATTCGTATAAAATATATGTTCAATTGGACATCTAGCGACATCATTTTCTAACATTAGTTCAACAGTTTAGAAAAAAAAAGATGAAAAATCTAATCTTGTTCAACAAGATTCTCTCCTCAAACAATTATATAATCACGAAATAAGATAAATTATAGGAACATGCCAACATAGTTCTATCCTGTCACATATACACATAAACAAAATGATGTAAAAAAAGAAAAAGAACGATATTACTAGAAGTTTTAATTAAGTATAGCAATAAATATTATTAATATGACATTGATTTATTATATAAATGAAGAATATATAAAACATGAAATCGTGACCAAAGATAATGTTTTATTTGTGTTAGACAATGTGTTTTATATTTATTATCACAAGTTATACATTTATTCGACATCAATTTTCAAATTTGAATACTATTCTATGCTCAATCAAACTTTCATCTATTATGATTAGGATTAATCGTCAAAGTAGTAGAAAAAACGTTTGGAAAGATGATATAGAATGTCCGAAACTTTTCTTTGTACAACGTGATAATTATAATGTTAGTATTTTTATCCTTTATTATAACACTTTGTCTTTAGTAGAGACATATTGTAGTAATTCATACTATTGAACTTTGTGCCATCTGCTTATTCATTTAACACATGAATAACTCGAACTCATTTCTTATATGACAGAGTACAATTTTTACCTTGCAATGACATGTGTCGGACACATTTTTTTATCAATTCTCTTATAGTTTACTTTAGATAATTATTAACACTACTGTGTGTGGTATAAAAAAAAAAGTAAAATAAATCTTTCGCTTCTTTTTCATCTCAATAGTGTCAAGTCACATAGGATTCATTAGAATAATATAACTATTACAGGTTCATAGATAATGACATATATTTTTATTACTATATTCATCAACAACAAAAAACCTTTTTTTTTTTATTAACAAAATGCGAGTATAATGAAGACCAAAAAAAAAGTGTGATGAAATACTAGATAAAAGATAAACATCACTAAACAACATAGAAAGAGAAGAAAGTGTCAACGAGTTTATTGACTGTAATTTTTTTTTATTTACAACTTAAAGTAAAGCACGATTTAAGTTATTTTTATAATCATCGGATGTTGTAACATATTCAACAAATTTCTCTTGTGGAACACTAAATGACATAAAAATAAATATATATTTATAATTTAAATAAAACAAACCGGCCACTGCCATCATCAAGTCGCGACCAATGTTGTTCCCATGTAGTTGTAACTGGTTTCGATACATCATCCACGCTAAAAATTTCATATTATTTTTATTAATTATTATTAGAATAAATATTCTTACGTATAATATCGATTAAGATGATCCAATACTTGTTCACCATGTTCTCGTGTAATGAAACCTGAAGAAAAAAAAAAGTAAAAAATAAAAAATAAAATTTTCTATTACCTGGTGTTGGATTATGATGATCTAAAACATAACTGAATCGATCACGAGCTGTTATAGCTGTGTTTGGTTCATCACGACGATCGAGTAATAGATATGCATTAACAAATTCTATTAATTATAAATTAAAAGATTATTTATAAATTATTACAAGATTAATTTACGTTCAAATGATAGTTTGCCTAAAAAAAAGGAGAATAAAGATGAAATAAATATAAAATTTAATTAAATATACCTGTTCCATCGCTATCAAATGCTTTAAATACACGATCGGCAAGTTTTTCTAAATCATGTTCGGTGATAACTGCTGGAATATCTGAACCTGTTTTTGCACTGAGATATAATTCTCTGTATAAACGACGAAATTCTTTCTTGTCCATTTGATTATCTTTGCCAGTTGAAGCAACAAATTCTTGATAAAGTTGTTCAACTCTAGCACGTGGAATACCTTTAAAATATGAACATCTCATTAAAAAAAACAAATAGGTCAATTAATAAAGATTTCTTTACCAGTAACATTACTAAATCGATCTAAATCCCATTGTGAAAATGTTGATTTTGAATGACTTTTGCCCATATTGATAAATTAAAAGAATGTATAGAAATCTTGGTATAACGATAATAAAATGAATTTGTTAACTGTGATATATTTTCTTATATAGGGATGAGAAGGTAGAAGTTTTTCTTTCTTTCGTTCTTTTTCTATTTCCTTCTAGAAGAGAATTTTATGATAAAAAAAGAAAAAAAAATGAGAATATGCGACGGTAAAGTTATATATTACCGCTTGTAGAATTCTATTTTTATCATCATACGTGTTCTCTTTAACCTTCGTATTCTCGATGACAGCCATGAAATATCGTATAAAAAAACAAATATAATGATATATACAAAATCTACATTATTTTGTACGAAAAGTTCTAAATAACAATAGAAATATCGTTTAATGTTCTTCGTAAATTGTTTTAGTATTTACATTTGATTACTATTTATGAAGTCTATTAAAAATATATTTAAGAAATCGTTTAATAATAGAGAGTGTATACTGAATTCGACTGTAATTGTCACAAATGACCAGCTCATACAAGCTTTGCGATAATCTCTGATAATACTGTTTTCTTTTCCAATTGCGTATTAAAGGATTGTTAGAAAAGATTCTACTTCTTCTATTCAAATTTAAGAAAAAGTTGCGCGTGCGGAGACGCAATATAATTTACTGACTATATTAAATTTCATGGAGATGGAAGAGTCAAATATGTTCTTAATGAACAGTCTATTACAGGATATGAAATATAGTACTCGGAATTTTTCTGATAATATTGAATTGTTTTCATTGGCAGACAACAGAAAAACTTTACTACTAAATTTTTCTTGAACGTATTATTGTGATGTTATTTTATATAATACCAAGTAAATTGAGTCATCTTGCATGAATTCGTATGACATAATATGTTATTGAATTGTTCTCACTGAAAATATTAGTTTGCAAGCTAAACGTGACATTGATATAGAAGAAGAAAATAGTATAATACATAATCTTATTGTTTTTGATCACGTTCAAGTCAATATTTATCTTCCTGTTCGAATTTTATGTCACATAACTTTTTATTTTCTTGTCTTCAATACTTGTTATGATAAAAGACAGGTTACTAACATATTTTTATTGATTGAAAATATGTGGTTAGTTATTTTATTATTGTTAATCAAATATGTTGTTTCAAAAACAATTTATTATGAAAATGTACTTGGTTATAAATGTCAAACAAATGAAAATTGTTTTCATTTTGTACCAAATTCAATATGTTTTAATAATAAATGTATATGTCAATTCGGATATAGATCCAATGGTTTATCGGAATGTGTATACGAATTACGCTATCGTCGACAAGTTAATTTTGGTAGATAAAATTAAGATTTGTTGTTTTTATTATAATTCGAATAAATTTAGGAATTCGAATGTTAGGTGAAGAATGTTTTTCAAATGACGAATGCCGTCGAACACCAGTTGATGGAGCAAAAATATGTTTATTAAATCAATGTCAATGTTCATCTGGACATGTACCAATTGATGCTTATCGGTGTATTCGAGATTTTGGTTAGTAGAGAATATTTGTAAAGTTTCTATTTCTTTGTTTTCGTAATGTAGAACAATTACCATCAAATACACGAATTATTAAATCATCTGATAAAGAAGATCCTCCTGGTTATGGTTCAATATGTTTGACTAATCGTGATTGTCAACATTCTACAGTTCGACTTGAATGTCTTCGTGGTACTTGTGTTTGTTTGGATGGTTATGTGCCATTGGGAAAGTATTTATGTTATAATATTCTTGGAGAAGGTAGAAAATTTTTAAGAGATATATTATGAGTTTTTTGTTAAAACTATATGTTAAGGTGAACCAGTTATAGAAGATTTAATTTTGACTTCTTCTCTTCCTACAACAACATCCATAAGTGATATACGTGATGATGAATTGATTAAATCCTTAGGGAAATTAGGTGCTACATGTACAGATGATTATTATTGTCGACAATCTGTATATCAATCGCATTGTTATAATGGCAAATGTTCATGTATGGATAATTATATATCACTTGATTCTTATACTTGTACTGAAGGTAATTGAATATACTATTTTTAAAATATTCTTATTTGATATCAGATAAAAATCAAGATTTAACGACAACAACAATCTCAGCTGCTTATAAAAGTTTATTAGGAGGAAAATGTCAAATAGATCAAAACTGTCAAACAGGAGATGCTGTATGTTTAAATAATATTTGCACTTGTCCAAATGATTATTTTCCTATTGATGATTGGAATTGTTTAGCAGATCCAGGTATTTATTAAAAACAATTACATAGTTTCATTTCGTTTAATCTTTATTATTAGATTTAATTAAAATAAAGACAACAGTTACTACAACAACAACAACGACGACGATAACAACAACTGGTTTTATTTGGTGGCCATGGTCACCATCATCAACAACATCACGTTCAGTAATAATGAATGCAAAAAATACATTTCCTTTTCGCTGTGTGCTTAATCGACAATGCTTTACTATAGACATATATTCTCATTGCACATCATTTGGACGTTGTGTATGTAATATTGGTTATAAATTAGAAACAATTAATAATGAACAAAAATGTGTTCGAAAACTTAATAATGAAAATGATTGTGACTAAAGAGAATAAATAAATTTTTTTAAAATTCTGCCGGTGCATTTCATTTTTATGTGTATATTTCTTAGTATGAAATAATAAATATTATTAATAACACTCAGTATGTAAATACATCCATAAAGTATTTGTATTCTTTTCAAAAATGTACCATTTAGTTCTCTACAAAATCGAATGAAAAGAGTGCTTGTAAGAAATAGCGAAGAAGTCATATCCGAAAAAGAATAATTTTCAAGCTACTGACTTCCGTTTTTAACAACGTGGCGAAACCTATTGACTGAAATCAGAGAAGAATTGAGCGGGTGATTTTGTAGCCCATGCAGTCAAATATTAGGAAAATTTCTCTCAAGCAGTTTGAAATGATCTTAGTCAAAATAACGCCTTTGAAAGCAGACCTTTCTGGGCAATGGTATTACTGATCAGATATAACTTCCTCACGATTTCTCACAAAACTCTTTATTCGATTTTATAGAGAATGAAATGGTATATTTTTGAAAAGGATAAAAATACTGAGACCACTATTCTTTATGTTATTTTATATAGACTAATAAATTCATATCTGTTATTTTATTTTATTGATATATAAAAACGTTTAATGATGAATAATAATAATACAAACGAATAAAATCATCAATAAGTGAAAGTTAAAATAAATTTACATATTTTAATATGATAAGGGAGGGTTAACAACTGATTTATTAACTGAGCAATCTCACAAATATCATTTATAAAAAATCTACATTACCTCAATGTTGATTCTGTTCATTTCATATTATATATAATAATAGTATCGGTATTGTTTCGTAGAAATATCATCAAATACATTCCAACGATGAATACCACTTTATAATTGTTGTTGATCATAAATCGAGTTTCTTATATTTTGTACAGAATATATATCTTGTTTTAGACTTTGTAATGAACCAGAAAATTTTCCTTTCAATGAATAATGAATGGATTTTCGTTGTTCATTATTCATTACTGCTTGATATGTTGGTGATAATTGATTATAAAAAGTCTCGTTATTATTATTGACTGATGATTGAACAGAATTATTTCTAAGAAAACAATAAAGTTATTAATAGAAAATCAATTTCTTCATATATTTAGTACCCTTTTATTTTATCAAATAAATCTCTTGTTTGTGCTTTAAATGCTTCTAAAACTTTATCATCACTATAGAGTCCTATTGGAGAATTATATTGAGCATGATAAACAGCTGTACCAATATGACGACCTGGTACTTGTGAATTATCATGATATGTGTTTGGTTTCCATATTTCCTGTTCTAAAATCTAAAGATAATATCAATTAAATTCGAAAAATCTTTCTTACGATATGAATCTCGATTATACGCTGCTAATGATTCATAACTCGCTGAATTAAATAATCAAAGAAGAAGAATAATATTAACAAAAAATAATAAAAACTTACGAACTCTTGAACGCAAAGGACCAACAGTTTTTTGTATGTAATTATCTAAGAAAAAATAAATTTATTTATTCCGAAATTCAAATATTCTTCCATACTAGATCGACAGTTGTTTGATTGTACTACTTGTGAAATAATTTTTGCGCCATTTCGTGCATTCCATGACGTTATTTCTCGATTAGAACCATTACTGAAATGTGGTTTAATAATTTGCGAAACGGACTTCGGATGTACAGAACCAACTTTCGTATACGATAATGATCGAGCAGCTCGTACGGATTGTTGATTAATTGCAGGTCTACAATAATAATCAAAATAGATAAGACAAAATTTATCATAATGATTAATAGTCTTACTTGATGATAGTTATTTCAAGTTCATTACCAGAACGTGTTATTTCCATTTTAGCTTCTTCATAAGTAACATTCGTTACATTTCTACCATTGATTGATATGACATAGTCTCCTGTGTTTAAACCATTTCTATACGCTAGAGTATTTGGATTAACCTTAACAACAACAAAAACAATATTTTTTCTTTCTTTTTATTTTCAAAATATACTAGTTGAATTGATAATGGAATAGAATAATTACTTCCACCTATATAGAATAAAATATTTTTTTTTCAAAAACAATTGACAGCAACTATCTGGAATCAAACCTTGAAGACAAAAACCCCATGATTGATCAGTTGTTTCACGTTTAAGATAAATTGTTATGAAAGAACTCATATTAGAAACAAAAATCTAGTTGCTATTGTTAATATTTGAAAGCAATTGTTCCTTTTTTGCTCTTAATATACATGTATACACTAATGAGGTTCGACATGGATTTATAATAAACGAAGCGAACTAACTTCTTATTAATTCAATAGATCGACATAAGGATAGAAGAATTATGTAGATTGATTGCATACATTCTTTTCTTGTTTCTTATTCATTTAGTTACAATAAATAATGAGAAGGACCAAGAAATCAAAGAAATATATCAACATCTTTACATTAATTTTGATATAGATGTCTAGAATAACTAAGAATGAATTGATGCTTGAGTAATGTAAAAGAAAAAACCTAGATAACACATAGAGTTGATATTTAAAAGGATTATATATTTTTTTTAATCCTAAATAATTCTATTCTACATACTTTACTATATCAGATTGTTTTATTATTTATGTGTTTTTTCTTAAGATAAAGAAGTTCTTGAAGAGCTCAATTAAATATGCATAAAAATGAATATAATATATTGACTCTTTCTATTATTCCAGAAGATAAGAAAATCCGTTTTCTTTTTTGCTACGAGATTTATTTATGTACTGTAATCTCATAGAAAACAATCATTATTATTACAAAATCCTACTTCGAAATTAAATTCATATGAACACAATTCATATTGTTTTCGAAGAAATACGACTATTAATGGATTATTAAAGTTTTAACGCCTCAGATGATAGATATGTCAGAAAAATTTCTTTTTCATAACATATGACAACTAATCAACGTTCACGGCAGTTTGAGATTTGTGTCCTAAAACGTCACATCTTCTTATATGGATCATAGCACATAGAAAACAAGATAACCTTTTTTCCAACAAAAGTATATATCGCAAATTTTGCTATAATATGTCTAGAAAATTCTTTACAAAAAAAACAAGAATTCTAATTATGTCTTTTCAGAAAATATCCTGTATTAATCATTTTATTTCGATATACTATTACCAAGTAAGACTTAGAAGTTGGTGGAATTTTTTTTTTGTATATATAATTAGTGTAGGGTTTCTTTTATATGGTTTCTTTGAACCTAATTGATTCAATAAAAGAAGTCACATAGTATAATGTTGATTTTAAAGCAAAAAAATAGTCTTGAGAAATTATTCGATAGTTGATCTGCTTGATGTACATGTTATAAAAATAGAAGTCTTCGATATGACAATTATGATCTATGTTTATTTTAGCGACTCCTAAAGAAAGAAAAAGAATATTTTTGATCATCGTCTAGACAATGTCTATAGAATTTGATCAACTTCCGAAATTAGTAAACTAAAATAAATATATATAATTGAATATATCTATTTTGAATAATTAATATTTTCAAAAAGGAGAATTTTTAATATCAAAAAAAGAAAACTACATTAAATCAACTTGATTTAATAATATCCTTTAGTTACTAATAGAAACAATAAATAATGATTTATTGTATAACATGATAAAGTCAGATTAATCATTTGGCAAAAATAAATAATGATAATATTAACAATAAAATCTTGTATATTTATCAGTCACATTTAATTAACCATTCTTCATTAGAACTAACAGACAATTAATTAATTAAATTTAGTATAGGTTTTTTATTTGAAATAAATTCTAATAATAAATATTACTAGAATTATTATTTCTTTCATTTCCTATTCGACTATTATTACAAATAGAAACTGAGTTCATTGTGTATATTATATAAACAGATAATTCATGAGATGTACTCGTCTCTGTTTAATATAAAAGGAACTCATTAATATCCGATGTTTATTATTATTATGTTCAATAAATAATAGAAATGCTACTAAAGAAAGTATAATATTAACAATTTTCTGTAAATATTATTCATCAAAAAAAAAAAAAGAAAGACTTAATTTTTTTGTTTAATTTTATATAAATATTGTTTCTTATCTATCTACTGTTATTTTTTTATATTTTCAAGTTAATAATAAGTATTGTACCAAGAAATTACGAAGCTTTTATCGGTAAAGTGGCAAAGATGTTAATCATAAGAGACATGTTGTTATCATTATGTAAACTAGATTAACACCTTGAATTTGTCATATAAAACTGGCAACCGTTTGTAAGTATCATATAGATTAGACCACTTCTCGTTTTTTCTCTTCTCTCTTCTTATTTTTTGCACGCTTTCCTTATTCTTCGTGTCTCCTCCCAGTTCTTCTAACTTAATATTACTACCATCAGAGAAGAACAGGCAGTAACGTTTTTCGCATTTCATCAATCTAAGGAAGAGGTAATCAGACGATATATATATACATAGATAGATAGATATAAAGAGAAAAGCATGCGCAAAGTATTCTGCAAAACGTTTTCTGTTGACGACGAACAGACAATAGGTTTGCAGACGGCGTTTGTCGAAGAAATGAGATAGCAAAGTAAATATCTGTGTAGAATAATAAATATTTGTATTTCCAATTTTTTTTTTCTTCTTTTTTTTTCTCTCTCGTTCTGCTTTGCACTAAAGCAAATGATAACAAGGTTTTTCTTTCTTTACTAAGTCGCATGGCATTTCGATTCTCTATATTCTATTTTTCTTTATCATTGTACTAGAACGCTTTCTTTCCATTATAAATATGATTTTGTATAAAATAAAAACGATTGGATTTCTCTTATTCAATTCTCTCGTTGGTATGTATTGATCTTTTCTAGTTTTTTTATTCGACAAGTCTATTAGTTCTAAACAACTTTCTTTGACAGTGCAAAATATACTAATTATATATTAGTTCTCTTGACAGTATTGAATGATTATTAGATAGAAAAAAACAGAAATGTAGAAATCTCTCATGTCATATATTTTCCACACTTTCACAATTATTTAATAAAGATTACACAATTTTCAAGTCTAACACACGATCAGCTGTATAATTCAAACTTGTTTAGGTATTTAACGGAAATTGACTTCTAATAACGATCAATTCAAGTATATATAAGTTTGTTTTTTCTTTAACATAGAAAAAGAAAAGTTGACATTTTTCTTCTCCATTATTTTTTTATTCCCTTTTTCGACAATAATAAGGAAATATACTTAGAGATTTGCATAATTAGTTATGGAATTCTAATGGCTTTATTATAATTTACAAATATAATTGTAATTATACTTATTAAATTTCAAAATAAAAATGAAAAGATCAAATAATATTTAATTTAAAAGTATAATATACAAATTTGTCCTAAGGTACATACACTTAGGAAGACTAATTGCTTCATGATAATGACATAAACAGACAGACATAATTTAATAAATAAGATCGTATAAAAGAACGAATAAAATTAAAAATTATGATATAAATATTTATTTTTAGACAATAAATAATAAATAGAGATAATTTAATGTTGTTTTATGGTTTATATAAAATATGATAGAGAAAAGTAAGCCTTTCATAATGTTTTCTAAGATCGTCTTTAATTAGTTAGTAGCATTTATTCATTAAAAACATGCAATGATAATAGTCATTCAATTTTGCGTGATAGATCTTATCGGCATCTCGCGTGATTCGACTTTTATTACTCTTTATGTTTTCAATTGATATTGAGCTTGCATGCTTTTATAATCATCATGCTATTGAAGAAAATATCGCATCTGTTTTTTGCTTCAAGGGGCATGCATATAATTGTTTCGATGAGAGCAGCTATAATATGTGTATATATTATGTTAATAGGGTTACATAGAGGGGGAAATAAAGAACGTGTTCATGTTTTTTTTCTTTATCTATTTATTCAGTTGGGAAAAAATTAAATCTGATTAAATTGATAACAAAATTTGTTCATCATTACATTTTCAAGGTTAAATATCATACAATGTCATCTGATTATTAGCAAAAAAAAGAACTTTATACTTAAGTAACAAAGAAAAACATACATTTCTTAATATAGAAAAGAAATTTACTTTTATATAAAATATTTTTAAGTATGTACTCGATTGTTTATTCTCACTCTGTTCTTTTCTTCTTTAAGTTCTTAAATATCTATGTCATGAGAATAAAATGACATGAACAATGGATATCAATAGAGTAAGTAACGGTGGTATTTATAAACCAATAATTCTTACTGATGCTGTACCTTCAACATCATCAACTATTGGACATCTTATAAATAATCCTATTGATGATTATCAACCTCCATCTGCTCGTGATAGTGGTTGTTATTCATCTACAGCTGATGAATTGCATTTAATGCAATCACAATTATCTAGTCCAAATCATGGTACAAAACAACAGTATCAATCAAAACAAAAAAAAACACAAGTACAACAGAATGATAATAATAATACCAATAATAATAATAATAGAACTATTACTACATCAAGACATGAACCATTAGATAAAGTTGTAATAAATATAAGTGGTTTACGTTTTGAAACTCGTGCATCAACTTTACAACGTTATCCACATACATTACTTGGTGATAAACAACGTCGTGCACATTTTTTTGATTATATGAATAATGAATATTTTTTTGAACGACATCGTTCATCATTTGAAGCTGTACTTTATTTTTATCAGAGTGGTGGTCGTCTTGCACGACCAGAAAATATTTCAGCAGAAATTTTTCTAGAAGAAATTAAATTTTTTGATCTTGGTATATATATATATTCAATTTCTAAATCATTTTTTTCTATAAAAATTTATTCTTAGGTGATGAAGTACTTAAACGTTATCGAAAACAGGAAGGTTATGTTGAAGAAATTCCTGTACAACGACCAATCAATGATCTTCAACGTACTATTTGGGAAATATTTGAATGTCCAGAATCATCCAATACAGCACGTGTTGTTGCTATTATATCAATTGTTATGATTATTATATCAATAGCATCATTTATTATTGAAACACTCCCATATATACGTAATGATGCACCAGTATCATTAGATCATAATGTAAATACTACACAACAAATACATTCATTAGCATCAAATAATGAAACAAGATTTTTTTGGTTATTTTTTATTCTTGAAACAATATGTGTTGCTTGGTTTTCATTTGAATTTATATGTCGATTTTTGGTTGCACCGTCCAAATTTGCTTTTATTAAAAATGGCCCGAATATTATTGATGTTGTATCAATAATACCATATTTTATACAATTAATTGGATTAATTTATCAAAAAAAAGATAGCAATGTATCGGGGTTTTCATCAACATTAACTGTATTGAGAATTGTTCGACTTGTTCGAGTTTTTCGAATATTCAAATTATCAAGACATTTTAAGGTATGATGATAGAGTTATTATTAATAATATAGCAGATAATATTCTGGTATATGCATAAAAACCAGGCCTGATTTATTGCGCTAGACAACACAAAAGAGTTAATTAATAAGACAGCTGTTGTTCGCGATTGATCTTTGTAACAGAATCTTTTTGATTATTTAGTACATTATTATTTTTTTTATCGTTTTCTTATATATATATTTTTTTCTTCTCTCTTTGGTAGGGTCTACAAGTGCTTGCCTTGACATTTTTAGCGTCATGGAAAGAATTATTGTTATTAATGTTCTTTCTTTTTATTATTGTTATTGTCTTTTCATCATTTATGTATTTTGTTGAAGCTGATTATTCAAATATATCACAAGTAAAAACACCAAATCAATTATCATCATCATCATCTGTATCATGTCCTCCTTCATCTATGAATTGTCTTTCACATTGTGATCACAATTATACTACAACACAACAATCAAATAATCAATTTGCATCCATTCCTGATTCATTTTGGTTTTCTATAATAACAATGACAACTGTTGGTTACGGAGATTATGTACCACGTACAACATTAGGTAAGGTTATTGGTGCAGCATGTGCAATAACGGGTGTATTAACAATTGCATTACCAGTACCTATAATTGTATCTAATTTTACATATTTTTATCAACGACAAATGGAAGATAATGAACGACAATATCAAGCGAGACAAAAAGCACAAGCAGCAACTCAATTAGCTTTAGAAAGACGTCGTTTATATTCATTAAGTGAAAAAGAAGGTGGACCTGAAATAAATGAATGGGAAGCAACATTAAATGAACCTGATTATTCCGATTATAGAGAAATAACGCATGCTATGACAAAACGTTTAGTTCACAATGCATATTTTAAAGCATTTCGTGGTTCAAAAAAAATATCACCAACAATGCGTAATCAAAAATTACCACCTGCAGCACCAGCACGTCACTTAACTCAAAGAATTTATCAAATAACTGATGATAAACATGAAACAGATTTTATGTGTTAAATTGTCGATCTCTCTTTTCAAACAACGAATATTTTTTTCTTCGTTTTCTATTGTCCATAAATATACATATATACATACTATATATATAAACAAAGACACTGACGATGTTTGAACGTGTGATGTTTTGTTCGTGATTATTGTTTTCTTTCTTTCTTTTTGTTTTTTAACACAATATGATGTGAGTTTTATTTATTATTTATTCTCAATGAATTATCCCGATGATTGATTGAATACATCTATATTTTTCTGTACGAAGATGTAGTAATTACAATTGTCCCAATATTTAGTTCATAATTTATTGACAATAAAATTTATCTTCGTTTAAGATTTTGTTTTTTAAATAAATTGAAAAAATACGAATCGTTTTCTTTCTAATGATCAGATTAAATTCTTATACTTAAATCTATTTTTATATTTTCTAGTTAATATCATTGTTCTTCTATTGTCTGTTTTTAAATGACATAGAACAGAGTTATTTGAAATAGTCTCGATCTGATACCGTATGTTTAGTATTTAAATGTCAGAAAAAAAAACTTTTGTTTAATGTTAATCTAAGATGAATAGCATTCATAAACGACAGACTAAACAATATTATTCTGTGAGATCTTATCAAAAACAAAAAGAAGATCTGGTGACTCTACTAGTTTATTCATACCAGATGACTGTCAAGTTTTGCATTAGATTAAATTGGTAAACTTCATAGGATTTCGTTTATGTAGAATAGTTTTAGATAAATCTCGAATACTATCGATTCTAGTCTATATGAACAATTCTAACTTTTGTCATACGGATTTGTATATGAATGAAGACTATGATGTCTACCTTCACCACGATGGTTGCTATGGAGTTGTACCTAAACTGTGCTGTTACTTGAAAAATTAACTGTGAAATTGCCTGTCTCTGTAAAATATAAAAATAGAATTTATACATAAACAAACTATCATCTGGCAAGAAAAGTCATAATTATAGATTTATACAATCAAGCGGGCAGACATAGTTACTTTAGACTATTGTACCAGAAGAATATTCATATAAATGAGTTGTACATAAACATTAGTTTTCCTTGTTCGCTATTTCCATGACATTTTGTCATATGATTAATACGCAATTCACTATTTAACCCTATCGAGGTCATTCAATTTTCATATGTATTCACTGCTGGTTTTAGAATTTGCAGTCGTTCCTTTTTGTTTTTCCTCGTTTATATTAGAACTTAAATAATATTCTGTTACATCGAACTGACCAGTTACTCAAGTTTATTTTCTCATTCTTTCTGCGACAACTAATCAATTGATAAGTCTAAAACCGAGAAAAATTGTAATACAATCTACATAAATAAACTGTAGTCGTATGGAAATCTTGTACGATTTTTATCCCTCGATATCGTATTTTGGAGACTGAAATCTAATCCGAAACAATAACTAATAAATGATTTGAAGCATAAAGTCGCTGATTACATGCAAGAAGAAATAGTGGAATGACCTGAACACGATGTTCGAAACCCTGATCTGAATGCCATGAGAGAAGCGAATTTGGTGACAGCAAAAACAAATTGATTGTTTTAATGAGAAACATGAGGGTACACAATAAATAATTAAAACAATAGCGAAGACAAATTAGATGATACATTGTGTGTTATCTCAACACCTCGAAAGTGTCAAATTAACTTTATAAATATCGGAAATTCTGTTTCTTGAATTTTGAATAAAATAAAACATTGAACTTTATTTTGCATGTAGATGTCGTTAGAATCAAAAATGAAATAAAATATTTTTCAAAAATTTCTATTTCAAAACTTTTTTATATTAGTTTTATTTTTAAAAATATTATTTCCCTTTCATATATTTTATACAAATTATTGTATCACTTAGTTACATTCGATTCATTGACGCCAATAATGGCTAACAAAACCATCGAATTAGTATAATAATTTGCTTTGAAAAAAAAATTTCAATACGAATTCTTTATTTCTTCGTTTCATTTCGTTTATGATCAAATATTTTATCTGATTATTATTATAAAAGAGAATTTTTTTTCTTTATAAAACCTTTTCTTTAAATGAATCAAGCAATTGTACATCTATTAAAGTGAATTCTTAAATAAAATGACAAAATGTCTTCTCAAGGCTTTAAAAGCCGTTGACCTTGACAAACATATTGGATTATTTCGTTCACTTGGTTATGATTCTGCAGGTGCATTAGCACATTTTCGTACCGAACATTTTGAAAAATTAAATTTCAATGAACAAGAATTACTTCATTTAATTTCTTTACTGGATGTTCTTAAAGAAGCAACACGTGATGGAAAAATTTGTACACATAATTTTTCTTCAACAAAATCAACTCAACAACAGCAACAACAATCAAATATCAAATCTAATCCTATTATACGAGCTGCTTGGTGTGATGATACAAATCCACAAAAAAATTCTCAATCAAAAAGATCTAAAAGTTCAATAGATATAACAAGACGTTCATCAATACAACGGAATTATTCAGATGATTTTATAATACAAAAAACATCGACAGTTCTTAGTAGAGAACATATTATACCAACAAAACCTAATCATCAAATTATTTCAGGATCAAAATCATTTTTAAATCGACCACCAATTGAACATGTGAAAGTAAGAAATTGAATAATAATTACTGATGATATGTCTATTGACTGGCATATATAATAATTGTGTGCATTTGACCTATTTTTTTTAACAGGTGTTTATCATTTCTGTAAATATACCAATCGGAAATCCTATATTCCCCTATATTTGATTTTAATTACTGGATGACATTTTTCTTGTTTTGTTTAATTAGGTTAAATCATATAATTATGGTATTCCAACTAGTAGACGTTCACGAAGTAATACTCATCGTAGTAATTTTCAACAGGAAACAAATTATCATCATAGTCCATTATTTGTTTCATCTCCACGTCATGCAACTGATACAATATCATATGCGAAACCAGCTGAAATATATGTTTATGCTCGTAAACGACCATTATTATCAAATGAAACTAATTTTGAAGATACAGTAACTGTACCTGATAATAAACGTGTAATTATCACAGAAAACAAAGCAAATCTTGATTGTACACCTTTACTTAAAAAAGTATTTTTTGAAAAAAAAAGATTGAAATAAATAATTAATTTTTTCATTTACAATAGACGGAATTTCAATATGATCAAGTATTTGGATCTGATATTTCTAATAAACAAGTATTTGAATCAACTGTCTTACCATTTATATCAACAGATCATCGTCATAATTTAACTTATATTTGTTTTGGACAAACAGGATCTGGTTTGTTCTTCTTATTTATTATATTCCTATATAACAAATATAATTTTCAGGTAAAAGTCATACCATATTTGGTAGTAAAAGTACAGATGGTTTACTGATTTATTGTACTCAACTATTATTACAAGAGGTTAATATTGATAATAAACTTATTTGTTCATTTTATGAAATATATAATAATCAAGTTTATGATTTAATTAATGTTGGAAAAAGGTTAGCATTTGAAAAATTTCTATTCAATATAATTAATCTAGATTTATTTAGATTATTTGTACGTGAAGATAGTGAACATCATGTAAATGTTATTGGTGTAACCGAAGTTCTATTAAAAAATTTAGATAATTTACGTTGTGTCATTGATAATGGTTTAACACGACGACATCATGGAAAAAGTGCATTTAATTCAAATTCATCACGTTCACATGCAGTTTTTCAAATTATATTAAAAGATAATTATAATTCAGGAGAAAATTTCAGGTAAAAAATTTATTTTAGTCTACATTAGAAAGATATTATGTTTATTTATTTTGTTAGACTTATATTTATTGATTTGGCTGGTAGTGAACGTGCGACAGATGCCCAAAATAATCTTCGACAAACTCGTCGCGAAGGTGCACAAATAAATTGTTCATTATTAGCATTAAAAGAATGTATACGTTCAATGGATCTGACACATTCACATGCACCATTTCGACAAAGTAAATTAACACATATATTACGAGATTCTCTCGTTGGTTCGAAAACACGTACATGTTTAATGGCAAATGTATCACCACCAAGTGATTGTTGTCAATGTTCATTAAATACACTTCAATATGCTTCACGTATTCGTGATATAAGTATTCGGCATCGAATTCGTACAATGCCAATAGTTGACATACAAATGAATTCAAATGATAATATTATAAAAGAACAAGAAATTGCTCATGATAACCCACAAAGAATATTTCGACCAGCAACAGCATCAACACCAGTTCATCGACTTATTTCATCAACTGATGAAAATATTTATATGTCAAGAAATCAAACAGGTTTTTATCTTTTTTTTACATAACATTAAAAAAAGACTTCCTTTTGTAATAGATATCGATGCTCGTAAAACCAAACCACTTGATATTGATTGGCAAATAGCCAATGACGATATTCCAATAACAGGTGGTGGTGATAATCATTTATTAAAAACTTTAGCATCATTAAAACGTGATTTTAAAATAAATTCCCAAACAAATAATAAACAGCCTATAAATCGTTTACATCAAAAGAAAATCGATGATAATGATGAAAGTCCGTCAAGTTATTTTCCATTACCACAATCTGATATTAAAAAATCTTCATTAAATAAAACAAATAAAAAGCCACAGTTATATGAAAATTCACGTCTTATGTATGAGGATGGAAATGAACGACAATGGAAACCAATTTCATCTACAATATCTCAACGTCTTTCCGATCCATCCATCAAATCTTCAAATCCGACGAAACTTACTCATGTTGCCGCTTCTACTCAACTATTTGATAATAAACCATATAGTAATGGAACAAGTACAGAAAATCTTCGAACAAAGACAATACTTAATGATAAACGACATAAAAAATCTAGTTCACATAATACATTAGCTAAAAGTTTAAATATAAATAAACAATATGATATAGGTAAAATTACAAAAGATATTGAACCAATGATTTATTCAGATCGTCAAACAGCATATCGAGATCAAACAGGATTTTATACGAATCGTAATGAATTATTATCTATTGTATCAAGTCGATTATCAACCGTTGGTCAACGAGCATCATCAGTTGTAACTCCAAGAAAATCAAGAATTAATTCTCAAAATTCTATTATTAATTCATCACAAACAAATAAATCTAAGAATTTGATTTCATCATCAAATAAAACACGTCATAAAACTCGTCCAATTAAATCTGCATCATCAACAACTAGTATTGCAAGTGACAATCCAATAAAAAAATCTTCTTTTGATAATAAAAAACTTAAAACTACATCATCATATGATTATCAAAAATTCGATCCAACAATTCGACATTCACCTAATCGTCATCAACGAACAGTACCTTTACGTGTTCATTACAGTTCTGATTCCGAAGAAAATGATAATGAAAAAATACATCAAAGGAAATTCTATCCATCGAAATATCCTGTATATTCAACACGTAGTGAAGCCTGTCAAACAACAGACGACATTTATTCAATGAAAAATGAACAAGAACAAACAGAGGATTATTTACTTTACAAACAAATTCCTAAAGAGAAAGATACGATTAAGAATGCAGAACAATCATCATCATCAGCTTTCGCACCAATATTAACATCATTATCCTCGCCAGCATTACTATCAAGTACATTAACACAAGCTCCACTTGACTCAGCTAAAGCTCTCTTTAATTACTCATCACCACCGCGATCATCGACAAATGTTAATAATCCACAACCAACATCAAGTTCATTCAGTAAGTTGAGAATAACGTATTTCTCGGAGAACAAAACACTATTCATTCGATTGCTATATTAGATAGAGCCAGTAAATTTAATTAACTTCAGAAATAGCTTTGATATAAATCATATATTTTATATAAAATGTTAATATTTATTGTGTAGGTTCACCATCAAAAGATTTTGCACTACGAGTATCAGATCAATTAAGTGCATTACGTACATTACTTGAAACTCATCTCGTAGAATCAAATGAAATAAAACGTTCGACAAAAGATTCTTTAATATTTCAATCATCTCCAGGTACATTTGCAAAAGATTTTCTTAAATCATATCGTCAACCGTCAGTTCGAAGTAATTCAACTGAGTTACTTACTGATACTGATGATGATGATAAAGAAGTCGCAAGAAATTTCCATAATAATAATACTGAAAAACCATTACAATATGAAAGTGATCTTTTATCATCAACAAATCCGCCTGAATTTTTATCAAAATATCAATATGAACAAATAATTCAGCCAAGTTTATCATCACTTTCAAGTGTACTAAATCAAATACGAGCTAATTCATCTGATGAACCTCCATCAATATCAAATCTAGCAGTTAAAATAGATACAAGTTAGTTAAAAATTGAATTCTAAATTTTCTTTGAAATTAAATTTTTTATTTTAAAGAAGAATCATCAAATTTATTAAATCAAAATGATGAAAATAATGCTATTAATAAAAATAATAGTATGACAACAAGTGATAGTGAACATACATCACAAGTAAATTCAGCATTACAAAATCCATTTACAAAAACATCATCGGATGGTTCATATTCACATCATTCTTTAATACGATCACCTATTCATGTATCATCCTATGATATAACGAATAGAAAAAATCATGATCATGAACATTTAATAGATCATAGTAAAAGTAATTCATTTCTAACAACGTCTCCATTCGATACATTATTGAACAGTCTTAAAGTTATGCGTGAAAAAGATCTGGATTTTGTTGTTCATACCGGCGATGATAAACTCATTCCTGTTGCCGAGTAGATTGTTTTTTTTTCTTCTTATCTGAGCGTGTGTTTATGACTTAAAACAGTGTTTTTTTTTTCAATTTTGAAAATGAGTTCGTAGAATTGTAGGTACTATTTAGTTTTATAGTGAATTCGGTTTTCTATATTTATTTCAATGGATATTTTTAGCGTACTAAAATTCAATTCGCATTTTTGTATAAATCTTCTTTCTTTTGTTTTGCTGTGCTGTGTGCTGTATTTGTCATTTAGGAGTTTTAAAAGCTATATAAAATAAATAAAATAAATACTAGACATTTATTATTCAGGAATACATATGATTTTGTTAATTAAGATTTAAAAGAAACTATTCAAATCGTCTGACGTAAAATAAATAGAAGAAAGTTGTCTTTTACTTTCAGGCCAATTACGTTACTACTTGTTGTACTTGAACAGAAGTAGTATATAAGCGTCTGATTACATATTTATGTGTTAAAATTTGTACTATTACAAAATACATTGTCATGAAAAACAATGCAGCATGGCAAATTATTAAGTCATGCTAATTAATTAAAGATTTACTAGTATTTGATAAGAGTCTTTCATCAACTATAATAATCTTTGTAATGATAGGCAGTTATTTATTTGATAAATCTTTCACAATATATCATTAATGATGAAACTTCTTTTATAGAGTTTACATATCTCTTATTGAAGCCCCTATAGCTCTTAGAATTTTCCTGACATGAATATGTTCTTTCGACTTTTCTTTTTTTAATCGTGTCACTCATTTTTTAGACGTTACCCAGGGAGAAAGACTTTAAAATAAATGTGTTCTATTAATTAGTGTGAATGGCTTAAAGTCGCGGTGTTCGATTATGCGTTTAAATGCATTTTTTCAAAAGTCTGTCTGTCTGAATATATTTCCATGTCATTTAACCATTATATGTATGAAGTAGACAACAATATCATAATAGGATCTCATGCTAATAGTTTATTTTAAAAAAATACAGAATGTATCACTGGATTCTATATCAAATATTTGAAGGTTTACGAAACAAATCATAATTAAACGCAAAAAGATAAACTATATTAGAAGACTTTTCAAAAAATGAAATCAAATGAATTCATAGTAGAGAAGTTTTATTGTAAATAGTTTTCGACCTGAACTGATACAAGAAAAATTCAGTGACACCACGCGAATAAATATGTATATTTATATATAATACAGAAAAGAGAAAATCTGGAGAAGAAAGAATATAATACATATATGTATGAATAAAGAAGAAAACTACCTGGACTATACGATAATATCTTAATCACAAATACTAAGAAAAGGAAAGAATACGAATAAGCCAAGTGCTGGTCACATGACATTTATCTCAAACTCTTCAACAACAAAAAAAAAACATTCCTTATTTTGATAAATCTTTCAATTCCTACCACACAAAGTAACCATATAACATAACATCAACGTATTTTGACTAGCGATTTGGTAATCCGAGATCATATATTCTTATCATTTATAACAAAAAAAATAGTGGTTGATTCTTCTTTCTACATTCTTAAACATTGATTTCATTTTTGTTTATTTGAAAATATAAAATTTACAATGCTTGCAAATTCTCCTCCACATACTGATCTTATTGCAACAGTATCAAATCGTTTTCATTTTAAAGCTATTGTTTATATTCTTGTAATTCTTTTTGGTTTGGGTACATGGACAAATTTAGCTGGTGTTTGGATTCAATTACCAATAATTACTCCAATTTTACCAGAATCATGGCATTTACCAGCTAAATTAACTTTAATTATTAATTCAGCAAATATCTTTCCAATTCTTATTGTTTTTGCTTCATTAGTCTTCAAATTCAATACTTCATCTTTTGAAGTTCCCGTAAATTTTGTTCTTTTATGTACAAGTATTCTATTTGCTATTGCATTTGCCTTTCTATGGGATAAAACAGCTGATCTATTTGGTACAAAACAGAGTGTTTATCTGATGGGATTATGTTTTATTACAGCTATAACCGATTGTTTATCATCAACTACTTTTATTCCATTTTTACATCGATATGAACCTATATATTTGAATGCTTATTTTACTGGTGAAGCACTTACTGCACTTCTACCAGCTATGATTGGTATTACGCAAGGTATTGGAAAATCAGATTGTGTTCTTTTTGGTAATGAAACAAATGGAACATTAATTGAAGTTCATCATCAACCTCAATATTCTGTTCAAACTTATTTTCTCTTATTAAGTTTTTTACCATTATCCGCGCTAATTGCATTTACAATTCTTCAATTTATGAAAACAGGTCGTTCAAAAATAAAATCAACACCAGTTAAATCTGAACATAAACCATCATCTATATTTATTCTAATGGATAATATTGAAGATATTGATGTTATACAAAATACAATAGCAACAATAAATAATATTGAAGATAAATTTAAAAAACCAAAGAAAAAACCAAATCAATTAAAAAAATTTCTTATGTCAGAACCAGGAATATTTTTATTTATAGTTTTTCAATGTAGTGCCATGTTATATGGTGTATGTCAAGGTTTAACAACATTTTCATTAAATGCATATAGTGTAACAACATTTCATTATACAATTATTACAAGTAAGGAAAATAAATATACTACAAATAAAAATAACATTTCATCTGTACTGTTCATTAAGGTCAATTTGCCTATCCTGTTATGACATTAGTTGGAGCATTTATTCCCGAAGTATCATCAAAAATCATTTATTCTCTTTATGCAATCAGTACTGGACTATTTGTATATATATTTTTAACAGTAAGTAAAGATAGACATAAAGGAAAAAAATTCTATTCTATGTATATTTTTGTAGGCGAAATTATCTCCATGTCCTCCATTAGTTAATCAAATGTTTGGTCATCTGATTATCGTAAGTGAAAATAATTTGTTATCTCATATGAATAGTTACATCGACGTTTAGTTTTTTGTATGGATTTTAATGAATTTAACTTGTTCTTATATACGTATTTTAATGGGAAATTATTTTCGAAAAAATCTTGGTCATCGTGGCCTTATTTGTTTTGGTATAGCAACACAATTAGGTGCATTAATTGGTGCAACTACTAATTTTGCTCTAACAAATACTTTTGAATTATTTAAAGAACGAAATATTTGTGATAAAACATTACAATGTTTTTAAAACATTACAATGTTTTTAAAACATAAGTATTTTCTACTATATAGATTCATGTCATAGATAATCCGTTTTAATAAAAGAAAAAGAAAAAAAAATTAATAAAAAAAAAAGAAGAAGAAGAAGCATCAAATGTTTACTTTTTTTATTATGTGTGAAATTTAATATAGAAAAAAAGAAGAAGAAGAAAAAGAATCGCGGAATGATACTTTTCTAATGAGGAAATTTCGTCATTATTCTTATATTTAGCTGATAATCTCTGTTACTCTGAATGTTTTTTTATGAGAATAAAACACCTTTAACATTTGTTCGTTCTCATTCTCTATAGTTACATGCGTATATAAGAATAGACAAGGCTTTTCTTTTTTGTGTTGTGAGAAGATGATGCATGTGCGTGTTATTATTATTATTGTTGTTCGTTTCCTTTGCATTACGCATTAAAAAAAATGTGTTCTTCTTTTATCATCACTTCCAGCACTTTGATGTATTGTAGGTAGTTTTACTGACGTAAATTGAGTTTAGTCAAATATAGTGTAAGTAATCTGTTTTTAAATTTTGAAATATACATATTTTTTTTTCAACAGATACTTGAATTTTATAAAAATGGGAAATAAAAATGGTTCACATGATACATTATTAGATGAAACCCAAGATTTGCTCATGCAAAGAACTGGTAATTATCTATTTTTATTTTGTTTGCATATGACAGAATTCAACAAATGTTAGAAATTTAGTTTTAAAATGTTCTTTGTATTGTTTTTAACATAAAGTTATTCATTTGAAACTCTCCCCTCAATAGAAGGCTCTCTTGTATTAAAGGGTCCCCCTTAAATAGTTAGCCTCTCTGGAGCAATAGTCAAAGAAAACGCCCTAGGGGGTAGGGCGATTTTTTCACAAAAAAGTGCAAGTTCAAGAACCATAATAGAAGGCTCCGGCTCTTTTATACCGGGAACAAGACGGTTTAATTGATATACTTTAACTTAAATTTCATAGATAAGATTATACTAAAGGCCAATAGATAAAAATACTTTTATTTTTTGCTAGGTATGTCAAAATTTGACGTTGAATTATGGTACAAAGCAATATATGTATGATTTAATAAATTTTTTATAAAAATTTCTTTGAGTTTTTTTAAACATAGGATCGATCAACAAAAGGAAAATTATCTAAAGCACAGATGATATCAATTTATAAAGATATGAGTGATCTAGATTCATCACGTATAAGTGATGTAGTTGATTCATTAGCCAATGTTTTTGATGAAGATCATAGTGGAACTGTTGGTAAATAAAATAATATTATCTTTTTTTTGTAATATTTATTTAAATATTATTCAATAGATATAAATGAATTTATGCGTGGTTTTATATTGACAACAAGAGGTGATTTACGTTCGAAAATTGATTATACATTTCGTATATATGATAAAAACGATGATAATCAAATATCTGGTGAAGAAATCAAACAAATGGCAAATGTATTAGATAAAGAAAAGGAAACGTTAAATACAATTCTTTTTTTTTTCTTCTCTTTTTAGTCAATAACACGTATGTTAGGTGGCGATGAAACAGGAAATGATGAAGCATGTTTTGCTATAATTCAACAATTTCTTAAACAATTTACTGGAAGTGAAAATGGCGTGATATATAAACACGATTTTATAAAAACAGTTATGCAAAATAAAGAACTGTTGGCTATACTTTCACCATTTTACGGTATAATTATTTATTGTTTTGCTTCTTTTGTTATTCGCTATGCTTCGAAGGACAGAAAAAAAAGAACTTTAAATTATGCTCTACTTGATTATTTTAGCTTGTCCAAGTCATCGTCGTCATTAACACAGAAAAAATACAGAAAAAAAAGGTTCAAGTCAGATATTAATTCAATAGACAAAAACAATTTATTTAAACATTCTTTTTAGTCGTCATTGTTGTTGTTGTGTTCGTTATGTATGTTTATGATTAAAAATTATTTATTTTTTATGTGTATTTTGAGATCATTTAATGCAACACGGTATTAAACTGATTAAAAGAGAACATGTTGTTTTTTTGTGTTCAATTAAATTGTTATTGAACAAATGAATTAACAATAAAGTTCATATTAAATCTATATCTAGGTTAGATATCAATAAATACGATAGTCAAATAACAATCAATTGTGTTAGTAGCTATGTATTAACTCGTATGTTTGATAAGAAACAAAATTTATTATGTAACATTATTCGTTCGACGCATGTCTAAATATGATCGAAAAGAAACTAACAAGGTCGGATGTTTTGTGACATAATTCAATAAAGTACGTGAACATTGTTAGACTACGATGCAAAGTGTCTCTAATGGATGTACTTGTGATTGTTGACTTAAAAAATGACGTCGTTGGTTTGATAATGATAAAAATAAAGAGATCGTATTTTATTAAAAGTATACTTTTTCCGAGTAGATCGATAAATAATGGTTAACCTTGAATTTGACTACCTAATCGTGAGAATATTTAAATATCAATTTGAAATAATCGAGCATGAATTATGAGATGTAATCAGAATTTTTAGTTTTACTGTCAGAACTAAAAGTCAATCAAATATTTGTAGAAGTAATAAGGGTATCTGCAATAATAATTCTTATGAGTTGATTACATAATTAATGTGAGAAATCTTCTCACATGTGTATCCTTTTCTCTCTTTTCTTGATGCTCATATCAACAGAATAAGTATGACTAACTATTTGCATCCATGTGTGCAAATGTTCTCTGATCCTTGAAAAGGTGAGACACAAATCATTATCATCATTTCTCATTCTGTCATCTAACATGTTTATTATAAATATTGTCAAGAACTGATGATGAGAATGATTACTTTCGTCTGTTATTTTACAATTGAATGTTAAAAATATAAACATTCTTTTTTTTTTGTTGTTGTTAATTCTCTTATAGTACGATTAACTTTTGTAATATGACAATGAACTTAACATATCATTTATGTTCTTTTTCGAGAGTCACACAATCTTCTCTTTCTATGTCTCATATTATAACATGTGATATCTAGATGCAATGAACATGTGGATAAGTATATAAGATGCATCATATTTTTTTTCTCTTTCTCTCTCTCTCTTGTATTGTTTATTAAGTTATAGAACGATGAGAGAAAGATATTCTCTTGTGGCTTATTTTCTAAGCAAGAAATATATTTCTCATTCATTCATTCGTTTGTTCGTTCTATCATTTACATTAAAGACAATTTTTCTATGTGATGAAGTAGAAGCACTTGATTCATGACATGTTTACTAAATCTACTATAAATTAGAAAATAAAAATCAGTAATTTATACAATTCGTTTCAAATTTAGAACAATCATAACAACATATTTTCGGTTAGTATCATCATTATATATACAGTAAACAACAAAAAAAGAAATTAATCATGCATTCAGTTATTCTTTCTGAAAAGAACTATGATATTTACTCTCTGACCGACACATAAATTTGAATTGAATGTATGAGCATACGATATAACAATTCATCGATCTTATTGACAGTCTGATCAATGGACAGCACATTGATTGACAGAAAATAAATGTATTGATCATCGTTCTTGAAAAAAAGCTCCTTTATCTTATTCCTTATAATTAACACAAGAAATGCGAAATCGTTTTCGACATATTTTTATAGAAGAAAAATTTGTTTTATCTAAGTATGATTCTATCTTTTCATTTTAAGTTCACTAAAAGAAAGCATCTGTTTGTTCTTTACATATATGACAAGAAGGTCAAATGAGAAGTTAAGTATCATCCTAATTGAAAGCTATTATTTGTTATCAATACATCCTTTTTTCACAAGTACATATTAGATATCGTAATTTCTTTTTTGTGTTAAGATGCTTTAGAAAATTGATATATTTATATCTATTTAGATACAAAATACATTTCGAATATTTACGGAAAATATGCAATTTTATATTTATTTATTTCTTTTTCCAATTATGTTTGCGTATGATTGTCAAGATATATGTAATATAACATTAAGTATTACGGAAAATACATTAGTAGAAAAATTAACATGGAATTTATTAGATTTACTATCTAATCGAACATCATTATATGAATATTTACAATTTTCATTATCAAAACCATCGAATGAATTTGAATTAAATTCAACAATTTTAAAATATCGTTTATTAGAATTGGATCGAGAAAAAATATGTCAAAATATTTCGATCAACGACGAATGCTCATTACAATTAGAGATATTTACTCAAACATCAATTATAATAATATTTAAAATGATTATCATAGACGAAAATGATTGGAAACCATTTTTTAGTCAAGAATATATTCATTTAAATATTCAAGAAAATCGTGCTATAAATTATCGTATTCAATTACCTATAGCTTATGATTATGATTCAATAAAATATAATATTGATCATTATGAATTTCTCAATAATACAGATGAAATCGAAAGAATATTTCAAATAGAAGAATTTCACGGTGAACTTCGATTAAAATTAATTAAAAAATTAGATTGTGAATCAAAAGATAATTATCAACTATATATTATTGCAATTGATAAAGGTGGTTTCAAATCTAATATTTTGTAAGTTATATTTATTTTTCAAACAACAAGAAACGTACTTAAAAATTTTTTTTCTACGTCACAGAACTTATAAGAGATGAATATTAATAGTAAATTATTCCACTTATATGAAGACCATCATGACATGTTAAATGTAGTTATTCAAAAAAGAACCTTTTTTGAAACTTGATTGAAGATGAATAAAATATTGAATTGTGTTTTATATTGAAACTTTGTAGATAAGTGAATGTCTATGAAATAATTATTTATAATTCAAAATTTTCCTATAAGTACAAATCTAAATTTAGTTTTGAAGTCCATTTGATTAAAAATGGTTACATTTATTTCGTTGAAAAATTTCTAAAAATAGCAAAAATAAAACGCTCAAAGACTTTAACCGCTTGAGGACGGGGTTACTGTTACGAAAACAAAGGAAATTTTCGAAACCCTGAATGAATTTATTTATTCATCCTGATAAAAAAATGTACAGATCAATTAGGAGTTGATTCAAAACTGGACGCATATATAGGTCTCCCGTCTTCAAGGGGTTAAATCAATAAATGAACTTGTAGTGATAGAAAGCATCAAATACGTTTGAGGGTGAGTGTGGATGCGCGTTAGTAGTGGATTTAGGAATTTGACATACCTACTGACTTTTGGATCATGCGATGAATATGAGGACTACACCCTTGTTTCTATTATTCGACGTTACCGAAAGAAATATGTATTCGGAACTGGATAATAAAAAAAAGTTTCTTATTAAAACTCAACTGAGTTTGAATAGAAATGACCCTTTTCTCGTTGAATCTTAAATTATCGTTTTTTATTTGTATTTACAATAGTAATAAGTACTAATTCGTACACACCAAGGACATGTCTCTGTGCCAAAACTATCTTCTACTATGAATAATTTATTACTGAGTTTTTTTTTCGTGTTTAGACATGTTAATATTACTGTAGGAGATTTAAATGAATATCAACCACGTTTTACTCAACGAATTTATCATACAAGTATACCAGAAAATTTTCTAACAATCAATTCTTCATTATCTCCAATACTTCAAATAATTGCAATTGATGATGATTGTTATGATAAAACAATTCTTTATACAATTCTTAATAATGATATGCCAAATGATATATTTCCATTTGAAATAGATAAATATACTGGTTATATTCGAGTTAAACATCAATTAGATTATGAAACAATTTCAACATATCGTTTTCGTGTTAAAGCATCAAATCTTGATCATATAACATCAAGTATTGTACCAGTTGTCATTAATATACTAGATATAAATGATAATCAACCTTCAATACAAATAAATATTCTTAATGAATATAAACCTATGGAAAATAATGATGAAGATGTTATTATAAATATTAATGAACATATTCATCCAGGACAAGTTATTGGTACCGTTTTAATACGAGATATTGATTCAGCAATGATTAATTATAGATTATCATTAAAAATTCTTTCTTGTTTTCCATTAACAATTTCCTGTCCGATTGATTTAGATTCGGAAATAGAAAATAATACATTTAGTTCAACAACTTATATAATACGAACATCGAGACAGTTGAATAGTGAACAAGGTGATGAAACATTTATAATTATCCTCGAAGCTAGTAAGTTAGAAAGAGAAAATATCATAAATAAATATTTTAATTATTTTGTATTAGGTGATTATGGTAGTCCATCATTGAGTAGTCAACGTCGTTTAATAGTTCATGTTGATGATGAAAATGATTGTGCGCCAAAATTTACTCAATCAAACTATCAATTTCGATTATCTCATCTATCTTCAGTTGATTTTTTAATCGGACAAGTACAAGCGGATGATGATGATAATTCACCAAATTATCGTCTTATTCAATATAAACTTTTGGAAGATAATAATCAAGATATTATTCGAATTGATGAAAATAATGGATATCTATTTATAGCTAAACAATCATTACTTGAAATAACATTCAATCTAACTGTATTAGCTATTGATCGACATAATCATTCATTATATGATCAAGCTAATGTTCAAATTATATTATTTGATACAGCAAAATGTACAGCAATGTTTAGACAAACAATTTATATATTTAATACAACAGAACATCAAATAACACCCTATGACATTGGTATGATATAAGAAAATTGTTTTAGAAGAGTATCAGATAGAATATTAGTAATAAATGATGAAAATAAACAAAGATATGTAGGAACGGTGGCGGATCTAGGATCTCTGAAGGGCGGAGGGGAGCGATTTCGGCTGAAAACTATTTTTTGAATCCAGTCGAAGTAGTGTGAATCAATTTTTGCTGAAAAAAATCAAAAAAATTTCTGGAGTAGGGGGGCACCGCACCCCTCTAAATCCGCCACTGTGCAAGGTATATTGAAACTAGTGGCGCGTAACCACAATGAAGCTGTAAGGGCTGAGCTTCTACTTTTTGGCGTTTTAAGGAACGGACTGATCCCCCCCCCCCCAGCCACTGTCCGGCGACCAGTAAAAACCCTATAAAGATAAAGTAGTGAAACTTTTTGCAACCATTCAAAAACTAATGTTTTGTTACAATTGGTTATACTATATCTATTCATCAGTCTACCAAGATAATTTAAGACTTACTTCACGTCGAGCTTCTGTAAAATCTTGATGTCAATCAATTTTCTATGATTATAAAAGATATTACATGATCTATTCTTTCGATCAGATATATCCGTTATTTCGTAATAAGTGTTTATTTGAGTTCTTATAATTTAACATATAAATCATTTCTTTTCTTTGTAATAAAGGTCAAGTTAATGCTGATGATTGTGGCTTATCATCAATACCAATTTCTTATCATTTAATGCACGATAATTCATTATCTTTATTTCCATTTATTCTTGATAGTCATTCGGGTACAATAAAAGTAATAAGTGAATTAGATCGAGAAATACAATCATCTTATAAATTCTATATTCATCTATTTAATTCAACAAGTCAAACAGAAGTTCATATAAATATTCTTGATCAAAATGATCATTATCCTATATTTGATGATATACATGAACAATATATTTATATATCAACACATCAATATTATCATCAAACTAATAAAAGATTTATTGCACATGTTCATGCAACAGATCCTGATGATGATATCAATGGTCTTGTTAATTATTATTTTACACATAAAGAACATTATGATTATTTTCATATATATTCTAATGGTTCAATTATTTTATATAATTTATTTGATATTCATTTACCTATTACACTTGAAATTTATGCACGCGATCAAGGTTATCCTGAAGCATTAAGATCCAAAGATACTGTTATCATTTATGTATGTGATATATTTAAACAGAATGAATGTCCATCAAATAAATTACGAAGAAATTTTTATCTTGGCTCAATAATTATTATGATATGTGTTGTTTTATTTTTATTAATAATTATTTTATGTATTATTTGGAATTTATTTATTAAAGAACATCTCGAAAATAAAAAAAATAATCAATCATATAATTGTCGACTTGAAGCAAGAAAAAATTTAAGTAATTATATTTATTTGTTTATCTATATATATATTGTTTTTTGTGAATATTTTTAGTTGTTTCGGATAGTTTCTATGATATATCACCATCAATATATGAAAATCATGATATAAGATGTGTCGCGGTATAACAAGTATCTTTTAGTTTATTATCCGGTGATGTTTTCCTGCAAATAGAATAGGTGCTGAATGAAGAATATTTTATGTACAATTTTACTTAACAGTGTGCATTTATGTTTAGCTTTTTTTTTGTTATTTCGTAGTCAAATAAATCTTAATATACACGTAGAGACAGAGAGTATACACTTATAAGTACAAAAAATTGAAGTTTATATTTTTGGTCATTAAGGTTCGAAATATTTATTTCGATTTTGATACTCACATGAGTTAATGGTAGTTTTTCTTATAGAATATGTACTCACTCGTAGTGTAAAATATATGGCCAACAGAATAAGGAGTAAGAGCAAAAAAACTATACTCACGTGGGCAGGATTATAATTAAAAAAACAAAGGTTTTACTAACAAAAATAACTTGATTATGTCTGGAAAATATTTATGATCAAGGATAATATTTACTAATAGAGTTATGATTAATATATTCAATATTTTACAATAATTCACCAATTGAGTAAAAATTAAGTGATGGTTTTTGTATTTCGGCCTGTCCACGTAAAACGTGATTGCGGTACGTCTTATTTTTTCATTATAAAAAAACGACTCAATGTCGAGGATTAAATCCACTGGCGATTTTGAAGAACCAGTCGTACTCTCTATAATAAGAGGCTGCAAAGCTCTCTCGAATCTTCAGTCATTTTAAAAAGCATGATGGAATCATAATCGGTTACGTGGATAGGTCAATTTCTCATTTTACATCATTTCAATAAATAAAATAATTATACAGAATCATAAACTGATCTATCAGTAATAATACTAATTCAACTTTCCTACTATTTAACCTTATTCAGTTATGTAATCTATACGATAGACTATTTACATTGACAATAATTATAAATAACATATAAAAAGACTTAAAAATTAGAATTTATTTACAAAAAAAATCTTATATTTTATTCAATCAATACGACAGAATTATATATGAACATAGAATAATATATAAAAACCAAGTTGGGTGATAACGAAGAAGAAAAATCATCTATACGATAGATTCATTTTTTTATTTTGTTTCATATGATACATGTGCTTCGTTTATATGCAAGAAAAAGACAAAAGAAATAAAGCATCTGTATTAACTCAATATAAAGAATCTATTCATAAATATTTTGCTTTAATTACGGTATGTTATTTAATCGAATTTACGTATTGTTTACAGTTTTTATAAGATACATTTATCTAGACTGTTTATTTCACGTGATCTTTGTATATAAATAAATCATATATTTAATAGTGATATTCATAATAAAGAAAAAAGAAAAAAAGGTAATTCGTCTATCTTTTTTTTTTGTTCACATAAACGAAACAAAAGAATATGCATCTAGCCATCATTATTGATGTGATTATAATTATTGACAGATAACGATGAAGGTTAGTAAGAGATAGACAAAATGCACCCATAAATAAATATTAGCACTTTATAATGTCCATTGAAATATATATTGGATAAACAACGATATTCTTCATTTAAAATATGATGGAAAACGAATCTCGTATTGCGATCCTTTCGAAGTTGTTAAATTTTATCAATATTCTACAAAAGTCTGGTGTATTATAAACTTTTGTGCAATAAATTCGTATGCTAGAAGAATAATATTTTAATTATCTATTTCAGATTTAATATGTATACAAAAACACCTCGATTACAAAATAAAAATTCACGTGTAGGATCTTTGTCATTAATTTATAAAAAGAAAAATTTCTTTGATCCTAAATGGACGTCACGCTGTTCGGGTTATAACTGTAAGAAACTAGCAAAAATAAATGGTCTATGTATAGATCATGTGAGAAAGTATAAAAAACACCGACGATCACCGGAATATAGTAAAGATTATTACAAACCAGCGTCATATCCAGTATTAAAAGAAATGGATATTACTAGTCCGACAATAGATCATAATGAACAGTACACTTCTCGAGATAATAGTAAGTTTTTTGTTTGTTAAAAAATATGGATGAAGAAATCAATTTTTTAGAATTGAATTCACGAAATTCAACATCATCATCATCACCTGCTCATTCCAATTTCAATCTCGAACAAGCTCTTAAAGATCAAGAAGACAGTGGTGCATTAAATTTCAAATCTAAAGGTTTGACTTATGAAGATATACAAGCTATAACTCATTATGTACTCAATAACACGAAGGTGAGCTCACTAATATTTATTTTAGTAACCTTGTAAACGATATCGTATTCGAGAATATCTAATAGTACAAATTATAGAAGCCGAAATTTTCAAATTCCTCCGAAACGGCATGAAATTATTAAGTTCTAAGATAAAATATCACACATTGATTAAATATTTATTTTTCTAATACAGCCAATTAGTTCATTGAATCTATCTCACAATAATATTCAACTTCAAGCAATAGAATATTTAAGTCAAGCTATCGGACTTAATATAGTAAGAATAATGTTCTTTTGATCTATCTTCAATTCATTTTTTGATTTTGAATATAGGCAATAACTAATCTTAATTTCGCTGTAAATCAAATCGGTGGTAATGGAATATTTCATCTAAGCAACGCATTGGAAACCAATAATGTGAGAAAAGTATAGCGTCAATTTGTTTTGAATTTTTGTTTTTATATAGACACTCACTCATCTCAATCTTCGAAGAAATCAACTTGGAATTAAAGGAGTACTATCTCTAAGCAAAGCATTAAGTTTAAATAATGTACGAACAAATATTTTTTCATTGTTGATATATCCGTCTTTCATTTAGACATTAACTGAATTGAATCTTTCAGAAAATAATATTGGTAGTGAAGGAGTAACTCATCTGACAGCAGTATTACAAACAAACAAAGTGAGAAAGGAGTTTTTTCAAATGAATGTTTACGATATTGATTTAGACGATTACAACACTCGATCTTTCCTATAATAAAATTCAAGCTAAAGGAATAGAATCTTTAAGTACAGCAATTGCATCGAATACAGTAAGATAATATTTTTTTGAATTGCTAATTACTTGATAATATAGACACTGACTACACTCAATCTTGCTGGTAATGAAATTGGACGTAATGGAATGTTTCATCTTAGTAAGGCATTAGAAACAAATAAAGTAGGGAGAATATTATTTTATTCTAATATGAATTAATCGAGATTTTTTTTATGTAGACACTTACTACTCTCAATCTCAATGGAAATCTATTCGAAGCAAAAGGAGTTGAATATCTAAGTAAAGCACTAGAAATAAATAGCGTAAGAAAAGTATTAGTTTAATATTTTTTCTTAAATTGTTTTCTTTTTTTTTGGATAGACACTTATAACATGCAATCTTTCTGAAAATAATATTGGAGATGAAGGAGCACGTACATTAAGTGTTGCATTACAATCAAATAAAGTATAAAAACTTTCTTTTCTCTTTCAAATTAATGCCTATTATTTGATATAGACACTTACAAGTCTAGATCTTTGTTGGAATGAAATTAGAGTTGATGGAGCGCAATATCTAAGTAATGCATTAAAAATCAATAACGTAAGAAAACGTCTTTTTCCCCTACTAAACTTTCTCAATTATATTTTATCTATTAGACACTTAACACACTTGATCTATGTTGGAATAAAATTCTTACTGAAGGAGCATACTATTTGACGTATGTATTACAATTAAATAAGGTTGGGAAAACATTTGTCCGACTCTCTTCAAACAAATATTTTCTCTTCTATGCAGGTAATTACGACAATTGACGTTCGATGGAATGGAGTCAGCGAAGAAGTACTACACAGTTTGGGTCTTGCTTTAAGAGAAAATAGAAAAGCAAAAGAAAATACTGAAACAATACCATCAGGATGTTTATATCCTCATTCTAAATTTGAATATGTTCAATTTGTAGAATGGTAATTTATTCAATAAGAACTTTGTTATTTATAATGTGACAATATAATTCTAATATCTAACTTTAAAACTTACTATTTTTTAAATAATTCAATAATAAATGATATTCTGATAACCGTATATGATATAATTAGTATGTTTCTAGTTTATGAGAGTTCGGCGTATTAGCTAAACATATTCGAACTGATGTCATTGTTTATTAGACATGATCTTTTAGGATTAATTCGTCAATTTGAACTACTAGCTTTAGAATACGATGAATTTCAATGGAAAGAAATAGATGAATAAATTAATAAATCGGCTTAATATTTTAACATAAAACTTATAATATCTTGATTTGTATTTCATCTTTGATTTATGAATTTCGGATGGAATGAAAAATTGTTTAATAAGATAAAACTTGATGAACTATCATTTCAAAGTTTATGTGAATAAATTAACCAAAAATAGATTCCTTTAAGTATTAGATTGATTATGATAGATGTCGTAGTATGAGTAGTCGCTCCAATATTTACCATGCATGTCATATCCATGTAAGCTTGAAAATGGTTTTGTACCTAAGCTGAAAATATTAATTAACGTCTGATACAATCAACTCTCATTTATATAATATATGTAAATATACAAAAATAGAATTTAATTAGTTTCTTATAAGAATATTTTAATTGCTAAATTGTATAATAAGCGAAAAAAAATATTTTATTGATATTGTATATGTTGTGTAACAGATTTTTTCTTTTGATAGTTATAAAATTAAATGTTTAGAAAGTTATGTCATCTAGATTATTATTTAATCTTGCTAGTAATCATCGCCAATCATTTGGATTATTTAAAAATGTTCAATTGGCATTTAAACGATCATCAGCAACAGCAACAATTCCAATTAAACCATTATCACGTAAGATATTTTAATTTTTAAAATAAAAATTGCTATTATATTCTTTTCTTTTAGCAACACTTTCAGCTGGTGCAAAACAACGTATAGGTCTATGGTTAGCTTGGTCAGCAGGTATGACAGCAGGTGCTGTTGTTCTTGGTGGTGTAACACGTTTAACTCAAAGTGGTTTATCAATGACAAATTGGCATTGGCTTAATGATATGAATCCACCACGTTCAGCTGAAGCATGGCAAGAAGAATTTGAACGTTATAAACGATTTCCTGAATATGAACAAATGAATCGTGAAATGACATTAGATGAATTTAAAAGAATTTATTATATGGAATTTGCACATCGTATGTGGGGTCGTGCAACAGGACTTATATTTGCTTTTCCTGCATGTATGTTTTGGTATCGTGGATTATTTGATAAAGGAATGAAAATACGTGTTATCATATTTGGTAGTTTAATTGCAGCACAAGGTGCTTTAGGTTGGTATATGGTTAAATCAGGTTTACATAAAGATACATTAATTGATGGACGTGCAAGTGTTTCACCATATAGATTAGCTGCACATCTTGGTACAGCATTTGTTCTTTATTCAGGTCTTCTATGGAATTCTTTTAAGTAAGATAAATAATTTAATTGAATGAAATATTTTATTATTATTGTTTTCTTTTTACCATAAAGATATTTAAGTAAACCTGATATTTATTCTTCAACACGTGTTCCACGTGGTTGGGCAATGGGTGTACATGGTTTATTATCTTTGATATTTGTTACAGTTGTTGCTGGTGCATTTGTTGCTGGTTTAGATGCTGGTCTTGTTTATCCAACATTTCCTAAAATGGGTGATCATTGGATACCACCAGAATATTCAGCATTATCACCATGGTATAGAAATATGTTTGAAAATCCTGTTGCTGTTCAATTTAATCATCGTGTTCTTGGTTTAACAACAACAGCATCTGTATTAGCTTTTTCATTAGCTTCACTTTCAGTTAAATTTGGTCGACGAGCAGCAACAGCTAGAAATTTACTTGCAGCTATGGTTATCTTCCAAGCATCATTAGGTATTGGTACACTTTTATATCATGTACCTGTTCCAATGGCTGCAGCACATCAAAGTGGTTCACTTGTACTACTTTCATTTGCACTTTGGTTAGGTTATAATTTAAAACGTGTTCCAAAAATATAAACTATTAGAAAATTTTGTTATTTTGTTTTACAAGATTTGTTTAGTTGAAATAAAATACTCTAGGCTACTATTGGATTCATTAGATATTCTTTATAAATACAATGTTATTTCGATGATTGATTTACAGAGCTAGAACGCAAGTATTTGTACGTATTCCTTATATATATTCTATAATATCTTATTTGGTAATGAAAATACGTCGGTTTTGTTAAGCTTTGACCGTTTTGCGTTATGCTGGATTGATCGACTATAAGATCTAGGTCGTTTCAATGCTCTAACTATAAATTTATGCATATTTCTTATCCTGGAAATAAAGTTGAATTAAGTACCGTATTTTATGTCTTGCATAAAATTAAGACCCGTAAGATTGTGTAGCCGTTTGGAAGCATGTATTTTAAAAAAAGTAAAATAAATAAAACAACTACTGATAAAAAAGTGAAGAAGAAATATATAAGTATATCGAAACTAAGAGTTAGTTTCAAAACCATCTGTCAGATGAAGACATGGAATTGTTATGTAAACATCATTGTTTGATGTCATTTACTCATCTTATTATACAATGTCTTTCGCGTTCACTATATTTATTCTCACTGTTATAATTATAAATACATATTATGAGAGAATATTAAATAAATTACGTTGTAAACTATCAGTACATTATAATAATCTGATACAATAATCTTATTTCGAAAATATATATTGTATTTATCTCTCGTGTATAAGTACCAAGTACCCTTCTTTAGGTACAAGTATCGTACTTGTACTTGCGGTACTTGTCCTCGCTCTGTTGATTTATCTTCTAATAAAAGATCGTTTTTGCTCGTAAATGAATACTTTGATAGTTTTGTATTTTGATACTTTTAGTTTACAATAGTGCAATAGATGTTGTTTGTTTTCATTAGTTGTAATATGAAACATAGACTTAGCGATAATTTATTCATGCTAATATTACTACATTAATTAGTATTTTTCTAAACTATTTTATCATCAAGTTATTAAGAATTATCTTAGTTTTCTTCTTTTTATTATTTGTAAACAATAACAACAAAAAAATACAATCAATGTTGATTGTATGTGCTTGTTGCTAAATAAAGAAAATATTAGCTATAAACATTGAAATATAATGATGTATTACTTTATCTTTTATTGCATTTTTAAGAATCACAATCTAATGCGAAGATTGTGATTTCGATGCCAATGATTCATTACTTTGATTTTTCGATGTTTGATCATTCGACATGGATTGATGTTGAACCTGTGTTTGACATTCTACCTGACCTTGCTTTGATTCTTGACCATCACACTGTAAATTAATGGTTGCTTGGATTTGTCCTTGTTCCATTTTTCAACTCTGTTCACTCATTTTCTAAATCAAAATCATGTCAAATTAGTTAAAGATTGTAAAGTAAATAGTCTTACTATTCAATCATAAATGACAAATAAAGATATTTACTCTCAAAACAATACTAACATCTCAAGTGATTTTTAGAAAAAATAATTATATACAACGTTTATAATTAGATGCTATAGAATACAAAAAATTCTTTCATAAAAGTATTTGCAAGTTTTAATCAAATGCATTAAAACTAGAGGCATTCTTTAGTCTGTATAAAACGCAAGGTTATTATTTAAAAGAATAGACAAAATATCAAAAAAATCATTCTGAAATTATAGCAATTTCAATGCACAAAAACTGTTTTCTGATTACTTTAACTAGAAAATTAAACTATGAGTGAACTCTAATGTAAATCATAATTTTATCTACAATCAAACTTGTATACTGATTGACAATCTATTATACTTACCACGAAGTTAATCGTATAATTTTCGGTTGATAATTGTATGATACTAATAATACTTATGAAAGCACATCGAGCAATCGATTATATAGGTTAATACGAAATTGATAAGCGAGAGAAAGATAAGTGGCATACAGTAGAAGATGAAATTAATGAGGTTGAATGTAAAAATAAGTCGTATTTGAATTTTATCATTTCTAATGAGTTTATTACGTGATAACAAAATCATCTAGATTAGAATAACAAAAATACACTCTTTCACTTTTAATCACCAGTCTATTAAAAAAATTAAGTGAGGATAGAATAGAATTTGTAGACTTTCATATATCTGACATTTAATCAAATCATAGTCACTAAATTCCAAAATTTGAATACGAGAATAGAAATTATATTTTAATATACAAAATAAACGATGAATTGTTTTGAAGATTCTTCGAAATAGATCTTCATTAAAATATAGAATCAAGCAATTATACAAAAAGAAACAATTTTCTCATTTATTTCAGCATGTGACGAGCTAAATAAATTTGATACAGTTATAAAATTGCATTTCGGAAAACGAGGGTGTGCTAGACAAAAATAAAATGGAATACCTATAAATTCTAAACAATATTTACAATTACAATACACATTAATTTAACGCATTAAAGATGTTTTTAGAAGCCTTAAAGGAAAAAGATTAATGGAAGAATTACTAATCCATTTTTAATGTACTTTCTTAGTCATAATCCCTAGATGAATTCTGCAAATATGCATATATAACACTTGTATTTAGATAATGCGTATTTCTTTCTTTCAAATTGATATTCGGTACTTTATTATTTAACTGAATAATATTCTAATCGTTATTCAATAACGTTATACTTTCCGAAATGCATCAACAGAAACCGTATTTATTCAAATAATTATTAGAAAAAAAACAAAAAATTCATTTCATAAAAAAATACAAGAATAAAAAAGGCATAGATTATCACATCATCAATATATTTCCCTAGATCTTTAATTTCTGTTTATATAGGATTATTAAAAAAATAGGCACTTTGATGTATTCATATACATTTGAAACAAAAGCAAAATATTTTTAGAATAACTATGTGTTTGCAATGCATAGAGAGAGAGAAAAAACGTATTATACTCGTCTTTTTTCTTCTCTTTAAATTGATCATGACATTATAAGATGCATTATATGTTGTTTAAAAGCAAAAAGAAAAAAGAAATTGTTTCTTTTTTTTGTTTTTCTTTGTATGTCTATGCAAAGCAAACCTGAGTTATATGGAGTGAAAGGCATCGTAAAATAAACGAAAAGAAAAGAAGGAATGGAATTCATAACTAACATGACCTAATCTAAAGATAAATATGTATAGTTCTAATCTTGTATAGAAATCGTTAATTTTTGTTTTTAGAGTAAATCATTAACTATATAACCATACGGATATGGATAAGCATAAGACCCATAATAACGAAGCCATGGTTCAGCAGCCTAAAGGAAATTTTTATTTTTATTTTATAAAAAAATACAGAATGTTACTTACATAGTGATCAAGATTACGATGAAGAGTATGAATAACCTTGTCACTAAGATCAGTTGCTGGTGAATAGCCATAACGATAACGAAATGATCCACGATGTAATGTTGGACTCAATGTATAACGCGGTGGACTGCTGATATATGCATCTAAGAATGAACAAAAAAAAAAGAGGGATTATCAATTTGAAAGCATATATTTATGAAGATTGAGCACAACTACTAAGGAAGCACAATTACAATAGGTTTTCAACAAAAAATTACCTAATAAATGTACGCTACAAAAATGTAATTTTTTTTTCAGTCTAATTTTCTTTTTTATAATCTATAAATTTAAACAATTTTGTCTTTTATTTGCAAATTATTTATGAAAAACAATATAGAATATCTTACCAATATTTCCGATATAATCATCATAATCAGTTAATGAATGTCGTCGAGGTGATGGCGAACGACGAGATGGTGATGCCGAACGGCGAGTTGGTGATGGTGAGCGACGAGATGGTGATGGTGAACGACTTCGTCTTGCTACTGTAGCCATACTTCGGCCAAGAACAGGAGAAAGTGATTGAGTACGACTAAGACTAGGATCGTACACTTGTAATGACGTGGAAGTATCAGGTCGAGATAATGTATAATCATTAACAACTAAGTTATCCTTGAGTACAGCATGAGATTTTGGTTTACGACCAATAAGATCATTAGTAACCTATAGAATAATTTCGTTTCTTTTTTATGAAATAGAGAAAAAATAAGTCAAAATTTTCTTACATGTCGTACAACAAATGGTGGTCGTCCTTTTGTTTTATCAAGAGCAAGAATCGGATTAATACTTGTATCAACAGCTAATTCACGTAATTTTTCTTGTGTTTCACGTTGACCATAATTATTTTTGACTGCAGAGGATATTGTATGTGATGTTATTGAACTTGATAAGTTACCCGAATTATTAAATCCAGATCTATTCAATCATATACATTATTAGTTTGAAAAAAAAATGAGTTACCGATTTGTAAATGAAGATGATGGTCTTAATGATGGTGATTTCGATCGTTTGATCTATGAACAAAACAAGTTTTTTTTGTTTTTGTTATAAGAAAATCTTACAGATTTTGTTTGTCGATTAAGTTTTGTTGATGATGATAATGGAACACCAGTAACATCATCAACAGTTGGACTCGTACTAAATTCAAAACTAGGTGAAATACCTGGAAAATCAATTGTTCGATTAAGAAGAACATAACGACGTAAACCAGTATATTCAATACGTTCCCATGAGTATGGATAAAGAAAATCTTTAGCACAAGCTTCATAACTAGCCAAAAGAACAGGTGTTGGAAAATCTTTTTGAATTAATTCAATTAGAATATGTTCACCTAGTTTTGAAAAAAGCAAAAAAATTCTATTTATTAAGATAAAACAAAAGAATTTCTACGTTCAAGTCGTTGAATAACATCATCTGCTTCATAACAGAATTTAAAAACCTATACATATCAATATTTTGTTATTGTTGTTCTTTTTTCAATTTAAAATTAAATTTACCTTATCAAAATAAAGTTTTTGATCCGTATGCATTGGTAAGTATGATGGCATTAATCGAGTTTGTTTATGCATACCCAATAAACATATATTAACATAAATATCACCTTGCTTAATTAAACGAGTACCGGGTGCATCAACGGCATGAACATTAAATTCAACCGCATATCTATAATCTCTCGTTGCTGTTGCCATTACAACTACTGTTCTTTTGTGAAGATGACTGAAATAATAATGCAACGGATGTTGAAAATAAATATAGCTTGCTTATTATGGCCGCAAGCGGTTCATTGAGTGGAAACCATTGATCGATATCATTCTATTTGTTACGATGACAGTCTTCATTGTATATTGTTTATAAAATTAAAATAATGTTAAATTTAAAAAATGAAAGTATTTTTATTGATAATTCAAGTAGATTTTAATTATGTTAATTAGGTATTATATTAGCGACATCTATTATTATTATGGAAATAATTATAATAATCATAAAAATACATTTAGAAACTAAGTTAAACTTTTTCTTGTTCTTATTCGATATTTTTAAATTAATGAAAGACTTATACAAGTATCCAATGGTGAAACACTGTCATATTAAAAGAAAAAAATATTTCTCGTTCATTCGTTTACACCTTTGTTTACTTCTATCATAAGTCAATAGAAATACCATTGATATATATTTCCATATGAAAATTTTTCAGATAGATTTTAATTAAAAACAAAAGAATGACAGATGATAAAAAAGAATCAGCAAAAGAAGTTGATACGTGGATTGAACAATTAAAAGAATGTAAACAATTACAAGAGAATCATGTTAAATTTCTTTGTGATCGAGCAAAAGATATCCTATCAAAAGAATCAAATGTACAAGAAGTTCATTGTCCTGTTACAGTTTGTGGTGATGTTCATGTAAGAATAATTATTGATAAAAATATTTTTTTTTTCATTTCTTCTATTTTTACCTTTAGGGACAATTCCATGATTTAATGGAATTATTCAAAATTGGTGGAAATGCACCAGACACAAATTATCTTTTCATGGGAGATTATGTGGATCGTGGATACTATTCCGTTGAAACTGTAACATTATTAGTTGCCCTTAAAGTACGTTATAAAGATCGTATAACTATTCTTCGTGGTAATCATGAATCTCGACAAATTACACAAGTCTATGGATTTTATGATGAATGTCTAAGAAAATATGGCAATGCCAATGTTTGGAAATATTTTACTGATCTATTTGATTATCTTCCATTAACAGCTATTGTTGATAATCAAATCTTTTGTTTACATGGTGGACTTAGTCCATCGATTGATACATTGGATCATATTCGAGCACTAGATCGAATTCAAGAAGTACCACATGAAGGACCCATGTGTGATCTATTATGGTAAATTAAAAAAAGTATTTTTTAATATTATAAAAGAGCAGCGAGCAAAAATAATCATTGTATATGACATAGGCTAACATCCTAGGTGATAATGTTTTTAATCTATAATCGCTTCCTCTTTTTCCTCATTAAGAAGATATGTTTGTTGTGAAATATGTTCCGAGACGTCTATATGACATTAAGACTACTAGGGTAATCGAAATAATTATTTAGAATGTATCAATGATAAAAATATCATCTGAGTTAATAATCCAGAGATTAGAATTTTTATCGTTGAAAAAAAAAGAAGATAAATAGATGACTTGAGACAAATCTTGTTTGTATTGAAGTAGTACTGCGCACATTGATATCTATAGACACGGATAGTATCTAAAAATTAGGTTCGCCGTTGAGAATCAAGCGGCCCATATTTGAAATTGATAATATTATTATAGCAGTATCGAAAAGAATTCATACTTATTTAATTCTATTGTCATATATCGTAGCTAATTGAATTTTTGAACAATATTAAAGTGTCTAAGTTGATTTCATATGCATGGAAAAATTTGTCCTCGTATTAGATTTGACATTCTATTTGATTTTAAGGTCGGATCCAGATGATCGTGGTGGTTGGGGTATTTCACCGCGAGGTGCTGGTTATACATTTGGACAAGATATTTCTGAAACATTCAATCATACTAATGGCCTTCAATTAGTTTCCCGAGCCCATCAACTTGTTATGGAAGGTTAGAAACAAAACCTTTCCTTATTTTGTTTCCTTTCATAAGATTTCTATGTATTAGGTTATAATTGGTGTCATGATAAAAATGTAGTAACGATATTTTCAGCACCGAATTATTGTTATCGTTGTGGTAATCAAGCAGCAATAATGGAACTTGATGATTCATTAAAATATTCATTTCTTCAATTTGACCCCGCACCACGTCGTGGCGAACCGCATGTAACACGTAAAACGCCTGACTATTTTCTTTAATTTATCTTTGAGTATAACGAAAAAAAACAAAAACTAAAAGTTCATTACTTTCCTTTTCTTAGACTATATTGTATACATGCCACATTTTTTTTTCTAAGGCGAAATGTTAAACATAAAGCTGAAAATTCTTAGGTAAAATTTTCCTTTTTTTTATGTCCAGTTAAGAAAATGCGCATTTTGAATGCTATTCATTCATCTCGAGATTCAATTGCTGTGTGTGTGTGTGTGTGTGTGTTTGTTACATTATTTTTTTTTGCTTCTCTCACTATCTGTCTATGAAACGAAGAAAAAAAAAAGCACAAATGATGAACAATTTATCCCTTTTGTTTAACTTACGTTCGTTTACTATACATAGTTTCTTTTTTTAATATGTGTGTAGTTTTACGATTGTTAGTTGAATGACAGTTTCAGTGAATCGCTTCTTATTTTTTTTTTCGTACATATCCATATAAATAAACCTTAAAAATTTTTCTTCTATTCTTTCATATATGAGAAAGCATTTCCTAAAGAATCACTTAATTTATTATAAAAGACTAGTAGTAATATTATTTCCGAGAGATGGTTTTATCTTCTTCTTCTTCTTTTTCTTCGTCTTTTTTTCCTCTAGTCATTGAGGTTGTATCTGTGGTGATGACGAAGGGAAAAGAAAATGTTAATTGTAATATATTACAAAAAATGTCACAAACGGAAATGTTCGAGAGATGGAGAAGACATTCATAGATTATTATATTTAACAAAAAAAAAAATAGGAAAAAACGATATGTATGTTTTTTTTCTTAACTAATTTTAGATCTATTCTTCTTTTCTTCTCATTCTTAAAATGTTTTTTTATTAAACAATCTATATAAATATACCTCAAATGACTGTACAATCAAGAATAGGCGAAGATACTAAATCGGGACAATATTCATCGAAAGAACTTGATACATGGATCGAACAATTAAAAGAATGTAAACCATTACAAGAAAATCATATTAAATATTTATGCGAACAAGCAAAAGATATTTTATCCAAAGAATCAAATGTACAAGAAGTCAAATGTCCGGTGACTGTTTGTGGTGATGTACATGTAAGTATTTCAATATAGATTTGATACTTAACGGATCGATAGACTATTTTCCATGGCATAAGATTAAGTGATTTAGAGCTTTTAGTATCAAGTAGATCCTAGTAAGAGAAACAAAACGCCCCGGAAGCATTCTTATCGAGTTATTTAAAAAGAAATATCTGTTTATCATAGAAGAATTCCAATGACCCATAGATTTATATAAAAACCGAATACCATATTAACATTTTTTTTTCCTATGATGATTTAGGGACAATTCCATGATTTAATGGAACTATTTAAAATTGGTGGAAATGCACCAGACACAAATTATCTTTTCATGGGAGATTATGTTGATCGTGGTTATCATTCTGTTGAAACTGTAACATTATTGGTCGGTCTTAAAGTTCGTTATAAAGATCGTATAACTATTCTTCGTGGTAATCATGAATCTCGACAAATTACACAAGTCTATGGATTTTATGATGAATGTCTAAGAAAATATGGCAATGCCAATGTTTGGAAATATTTTACTGATCTATTTGATTATCTTCCATTAACAGCTATAGTTGATAATCAAATCTTTTGTTTACATGGTGGACTTAGTCCATCGATTGATACATTAGATCATATTCGAGCACTAGATCGAATTCAAGAAGTACCACATGAAGGACCCATGTGTGATTTATTATGGTAAATTAATTCATCATAGAAAAAAAAGAAATAAACATTGTAATCAATTATATATTTAGGTCGGATCCAGATGATCGCGGTGGTTGGGGTATTTCACCACGTGGTGCAGGATATACATTTGGCCAAGATATTTCTGAAACATTCAATCATACAAATGGACTTCAATTGGTTTCTCGTGCACATCAATTGGTTATGGAGGGTTAGAAACAAAACATTTCTTTTGTTTTATTGAAGTCTTTTTCATTAGGTTATAATTGGTCTCATGACAAGAATGTCGTAACAATATTTTCCGCACCGAATTATTGTTATCGTTGTGGTAATCAAGCAGCAATAATGGAACTTGATGATTCATTAAAATATTCGTTTCTTCAATTTGATCCAGCACCTCGTCGTGGCGAAATTCAAGTAACACGCAAAATACCAGACTACTTTTTATGATCGATATGAATAGGACTTTTTTTTTCTCTCTTATATATAGTACATGCGTGCTGATTAATAAATGAGTGTGTGAGAAAGAGAGACAGAGAGAGGAGAGATAGAGTGCAAAAAACATTTATGTCATTGACACATTTCTTTATTACACATTAAAAAATTAACATAAATATTATTCCTCTTCGTCTTCTTTTTCTTTCTTTTTCATTGTGTTCGTCGGGCATTATGTTTTGTTGAATTAGTTTTAGTAATAGTTATTGTCGGTTGTGGATGTTGATTTGAATCATATATACTATCATCAAAAGGTGTTTCATTATTGGTTATTAACAATTTTTGTGGTTTTGTACTTGGTAATGACATTCGTTCTTTTCTATGACGATGTGATGTTGATAGAAGTTTAGACATTTCCGATAAAAATAATCGTTGTTTATTAGTTAATGGTTTTTTCATATGTTTATGCTGATTTTCACTGAATAATTGAGAATTTCGACGACGATAATTTTGATGAATATTATTTGTAAATTCAGAAGAAAGTGTTTCTGGATCATTGGAAAGATCCTAAAACCGAAAAAACAAATTTGTTTTTTTTAATCTAAATAGAAAAACATTTTTTTATTTTTCATACTTGTATCGAAGCAACGAGATGAAATCGATGACGACTTTGATAAGGTATATTTTTTTCTTGTTTATCTGTTTGATGAATATCACCTGTCCATTTCCAATATTGAAAAAATGCTGCCCAGTCTTTTGTTGAAATAAGTTGCATATCATATTGAAAATGTTCTCGATAATTTGTTCGTGCATCATCCATATAACTTTCAAGTAATTGTTCTTCTGATGTTCCAGATAATTTATTAAGAATATCATTTAAATTAATTGCATATCGACATGGTGCATGACTTTCTAAATTCCATTCAATAACAAGATTTTCTTCTGTTAAACCAACTAATACATCATGTGTATGTTGTCGTACTAATTGTAAATATTGACATTGAAAATTATGTGGAACTGAACCACGAACAAGACGTATACAATTATTATTATTATGAAATGTTAAAGTTTTTATTAATTGACCAATATTTGTTGTTTGAGTAGAATGAAGAAATATTTCGGGTTGTTTTTGTTGTTGATCGGGTGATGTAGCAATGAGTGAGAAACGACCAGTTGTATTCATTTTTAGAAATATATTATAACCTTCTTCATCTAAACATTCGAGATAATGATTATTCATTTTTTGATTGCTGCTATTATTTGTTGAGTCGGATGGACGATGAATACGTTGAGCATGAAAAAATGAACCTTGTGGATATTGTTTACTTTTCCATTTCGAAGAATTTGGTTCAAGATAATAACATTGTACTCGATCTCTTGACATAAATACAACGGAATGTTTATTAGTTGTTGCATATTTCACTAATTGTTCTAGTTTTGTAAATATTCGACTAGAACGTTGTCCATTTATAACAAATTCAAATAAACCTTTAAATAATTCTGTTGTAGCAAAAGTACAATGATGTGGATAAACTTCAAATTGATTATCCGGATCATTTGATGATTGTCTTAATGGTGTATATAAAATTTTATTTGAAACAGTTCTATCAAAGAAAAATATTGGTTGTTCAATTTGATCATTATTTGGTGTATCTTGTTCATCATTATCTTTAGTAAATGATACAAGTAATGGTAATTGATTTGCTGTTCGTTTAAGAATATGTTTTAATGAACTATATGTATCACTCCAAACACATTGTGATATGATATGTTGTCGTAAATGTATCAATTCATTAGTATGAGATGTATCGTTCATATTTCCTGTTTTCCCGTTTTGATTTTTACTTTCAAAGAAATATTTATTATTACTATGCTACAGTAAAATATTATTCTTTTTCTAATACGCATGACTGATTGTATATGAGTTATGTGCATTTGATTTTCGTATTTTATAAGAAAGAAAAAAAAGGAAATAATTATCATATCACGAGAGGTAGAGAAAAAAAACATGCAAATAGGCATGTCTTGATATGTTTAGAGAAAAAAGGGAGTCGTGTAAGGAAGAGAATGTCTTTATAGCTTGGCAGTAGCATGTCGTAATAGAGTCATTTATTCAAACTAATGATTGCATGCGAAAAAATAACCGGTGCGCAATTACATTATATTTGGAACATATTACATTTGATTTATGTACTTCTTATTTATGTAATAGAAGTCAAAATTAAACGATAGACGAAAAAAAAAAGGAAGATACTTTTTTTAATCAAAATAGTAATTGAAATTTTCATATGAAATATAGACACATACATATAATTATATAGTCAATGATTTTTATATAGTCACATATCAAAATAATATAGATATATACGTATCGTAATCATACTCTATTGCGACTGAAACTGTTAGAGAAAGCAAGATAATACAGAACTAATATTTTTTTTGTATCAAAATAACATAAGATCTAATAACCAACTATTCCTTGTGGAGAGTATATCAAATAACTACAATTATACTCCGTAATAATTCTAATAATAGAGGTATTATTTAAATGAATGTTCGATAACCAAATATTTTATTTTTATTTTAATTTCAATCGAAAATATGTTTACACCTGATCATATCAAATTTATGTTATTCGTTCTTATACATCAAGGATACTGAAAGAAACAATAGATCAATAATATTTTCATCAATTGGTAGCTTGTTAAAGGTAATAGGTATGTGTATATCATGTGGTAGACTGATTCAATCGAAGAGAAATATGCAACTTACACCTATCTCATTAATCACATGTATACTGTCAACAAAGATATTTATCGAATATTTTATATGACAGTTTCATTGCTACATATAGGTAAACTGTCCTCCAAGTCATGTACGATGAATTATATTTTTTGTAACAATACTATAGCTGATAGATCTATGATTCTTTGGTATCACACATATGAAAGTATTTCGTGTATATGTTTTTCACAATATTTTTTTTGTCGATAAGTATTCATTAACAAAATCATTTTAAATTATCACGTTATATAGTATTGCTGATAAAATCAGTGTCAATATATTAACATTGTCATTGAAGAAATTTGTAACTAAATTTTCATGTACTTATTTATATTTTGTTTTGTTTTGAAATGATAGGAATCGTAAATGACCTTGTTGTTCTGATGTATCGTTAAATAGATTTCATAGATAAAATATTTATTTCAAAAAAAAACTTTTTGAAGACATTTTTAAAAGATTATTGTAAAGACATAAAATAAGTATATGTCTATTGAATTTTATTTTTCATCAATTATTTTGAACATTTATTTGGAGTTATAGCACCATTACACATACAAGCGTATGGACTTAGACTATTACCAGTGCTTATACATTGACCAGGTGAACAATTTAATGGGCAATCTTTAAACAAAAAAAAGAAAAGATAATAATTGTTTGTTTAATTAAAAGAAATAATTTTATACTTGTTGCTATTATTGCAGTAGGTATTTCACAATTATTACCAGTGTATTTACTACCTGAACCACAATAACAAAAATATGAATTACCAGTACTATAACAAGTACCACCATTTTGACATGGTGCATTTGCGCATGTTTTTGTAGCTAGACAAAAAAATGTCGATAATAGATATATGTATGTTAAATAAAAAATTATTTCATACGACTTAATGTTGGTACTGCCGGTGTTGTTGTTTTAACTGCTGCACATGTTGGACCGGTAAATTGTGATGCACAAACACATACAAAGCCATTACCATGTTTATAACATGCACCAGCATTTAAACATGGATTTGGAGAGCAAGCATCAGTACCTTTGAAAACAAAAATTAACTCAAAATATAAAATAAAAAAATATTTACCAGGTACTGCAGTTGTTGTTGTCGTTGTTGTCATTGTTGTATTTATTGAATTTGGTACATTACAGATTGGTCCTGACCATTGTGAATTACATACACAGATAAATTGGCTGCCAAGACTATGGCATGTACCTCCATTTTGACATGAGGTTGGTGTACAACTACCTGTTACTGTAAAAGAAGAGCAAGTATTTTTGTATGTGAATATATATATAACGATATTTTTTACTTGGAACTAATGTTGAAATAGTTGTAGTTGATGTTGTAGATGTTGTTGTCATTGTTGTCATTGTTGGTGTTATAAAATTTTGTACATTGCATACTGGTCCTGACCATTGTGCAGTACATACACAAATAAATTGGCTGCCAAGACTATGGCATGTACCTCCATTTTGACATGAGGTTGGTGTACAACTACCTGTTACTGTAAAAGAAAAGCAAGTATTTTTATATGTGAATATATATGTAACGATGTTTTTTACTTGGAACTAATGTTGAAATAGTTGCAGTAGTAAATAATGGTGTAGTCATTGTTGCTGTTGTCATAGTTGTTGTTGTTGTTGTTGTTGCTTAAATTTATTCAATAGAAATTTTTCTAAATGAAATAAAAGTATCTTTACCAGCTATATTGACATCACAGAATTTGCCTGTCCATTGAGCTTCACAATTACAAATTATAATAGGTCCAGCTGGTAATACAGCTTGTAAACATGTACCATGTGCTCCACATGGACTTGGATTACATGTAGCTATTGCTATAGATGAAAATAGATTACTTTCACTTTTTCTACAGAATACAAATAACATACTATCTTGAGTTTGACAATTTCGGCCGGACCATCCAGCTGCACAGTTGCAAAGATAATCAGCATTATTTTTTGTACATGTAGCACCATTTTGACAAACAGTTGTTGGCATTGTTATACATGGATGTGTAGCTAAAATAGATAATAAATGATTTAAGTTGTTTCTATTATTTAAAAATCTATACCTAATATTGATGTTTCACATCGACTGCCAGTATAATCTGGTGGACAAACACAAATAGCAGTATTTTGAGCAGTTTGTTGACATTGTCCACCATTTTGACAACTGGGACTACATAAATTTGCTAAATCAACTGCTATTTCACATAATTGGCCTGTGTATCCAGCACTACATTCACATTTAAAACATTCCGAACTTGCTTTATCTTCTACACATCGTCCATTTGCACATTGAATATAATCACACATAACGACTAAACATTAAAAAAAAAGAAGATTTATATTAATGAAAAAAAATCATATTCTTACAATCTGCGGGAGCTGCACATTCATCAGCTGCATGAATATGTACGAATGAAAGTACAACTAAAATCCATTGAATAGTAAGCATCATTTTCTTTATTGATTGAAGTGATTTATCTTCTATATTTGACGGTATATATAGTTCTATTAAACTATTTATTAGCCTTGCATTAAATCAATGCCAAATAAACATTTGATACATATATATCGACTAAGGATTAAGAAAAAATCAATTATTATATTGCTTCTCTATTTTTCTTTTGTATGAAAAACGGAAGAGATGAATTGAAATTGAAGACGTTTTTTCTTCTATTCATGACATTGAAATTAAATTAATCACCTGAAATAGATATGAAATATTTTAAAAAAAAAATCCTCGTAAATCATGTCCTTTTATCGAAATAGATGTAGGTGGTAAAAGTCAATTATACATGACACATTTTATTTTATTCGTTTATATCATTCAGTATATACAAGAAAAATTGTTACAGTTATAAAAGCATTTGCTGTTTGCTTGGAAATTGTTAATTGACGATCTAATTGTATATCCCATAAACATCGACTAGCTACAAGTAAACCTTGACTTCTTTTTTGTCCAATAGTAACTTGTACAATAGTTTTATAACGTGTAAATGATAATTGTCTAATTTCATTACGTATACGTTCAGATAAACTTGATGAAAATTTTTTTGCTCGATTTACATCATATTTATAACCAGATATAGCTGCTTGAATAATATCGGTTGTAAGACGACGTACTTGATCAATATCAACTTTATGATCATGAGTAGGTTCCATTCGATATGTATTTTCATAACGAATTAGACGATGATTATATCCATGACGTGGAATAGAATTACGTGTTGATTGGCGACGAATTCGTGCAGCTATCAAACTTGCACTAGAAACATTATTGTAACCTGGATAAGCTGAACTACGTCTCATATGAACATGTGGTTTTGAATTATGTTTTTCAGAATTTGGAGTTTCAGCAAAAGTATCCATAGGAATTGGACTGATATTATTCATTTTAAAATTGTAATAAATGAAACACAACTCTTTTTTTTTTATTCTTTTATGAAATAAAGTATCATAGTTGCTGTTACAATATTATTCTCTGAAGTATCTAATGGACTTTATTCTTTTCTTTTTTTTATAATGTGACTTCTAGCTAAATATGTATACATATTATATTCACTAAAGACAACAACAAAAAAAACAACGACGACTCAGTTTTGTTCCTTTTCTTTATATTAATTTGTATGCTTTGCCTTTAGACATTAATATGTAATTATAAGAAATGTAATGTGCCAAGTAGAACTCGATCACTACATTTGGATGATTTTGTCATAGAAAATATAAATTATTGGTCCATGATATCTTACCAACAAGATTCTGTATTTATCAAGAACAAAAACACAACGTATGCCAGTCATTTTGCATTTCTATTATTATGTCTATATTAGCCTATTTCTCTATCGAAAGGATTTTAATGAAATTCAACAATTAGTCATTTTCTATTAGATTGATTTGATCATAATCAAGATTTAGTAACTTCTTTGCTGTTGGTACTAGACTTTTATCAAAATATGCATGTATTACATATTCTCTTATGTTTTAACTCTACAAACGAATAATTATAAAAATATTACTCTAATTATATCTATTATCTATATATTTTATTTGTTATACAGTCTATCATTCGAAAAACATTAAAAACATTTATTTGTTATTTTTATCTATTAGAATTTTTCTTAATTTTTATACATATTTGTTTGTTTCTTATCATAATTATTAAATTGTCTTAAAAACTAAAATAAAATATTCGACGATTTGTATGGAATGTTGGTATATGATTCTGAATTACTCATTTTTTTTATTTTCTTAAAAAATCAATAAAAACAAATGCAATTCAATTATCGTTGAATTCCAATATTCAAGTTCAAAAGAAGTTCTTTTTATATACGAAATATCAAATAAATAGATATTTTTAGATCACATATACCAGTGATGTATATTACAATACAATCTGTCACTATAATATAGAACAAATTTTTAATTGTAATATAAGAAAATGCAACCAAATCTTTTTTTCTCTTATTTGAAAACGACTATCCTGAAATATCTGTATTGCTTTGAATTAATTTAATACTTGTCATTATTAAAAAATCTTTTATCAATGGAACCATTTCTTTATAGTTTGGATAAGCAAATCAACTTCATTAATAGTTACAATAATCTAAATGAAGTTAATTTATTTATCATCTAATTGAAAAAGAATTATTTGTGAATACAATACCTCCTCTTTTTTCTGTCTCTCTTTAATTCAATTTCCTTTTCATTAATACGATTTAATAATTTCTGAATTTATATCTTCGTTGTTCTTTTCATATAAAAAATTGGTTTTGGTTGATTACGTTTTACTGAGAAATACTTCCACTGGATATCTTATGAATTCGATCGTTATGTAATTTCATATTGAAAACAAATGTCGCTGTATTTCGAATGATATGAATAACTAATTGAAATCTGATCAAATCAAATATTAAATACTAATATGTTGATACTAATTTGAACTCAAAGTACCATTCAGTATTCTTCTGACTAGTCCTGATACTATATAAATGACTAATGATAATAAGAATAAAATAAATCTAATAAGATTTTTTCTGCGATATTTATGATCGAGTTTAAAATTTATCATAGTTGCAATGAAAATTCAATGAAATTCTCATAGTTGTACATGTCACTATGTGAACAGAAGAAACTTGATGAAATATAAACACTTATAATCGAGATAAAATATTGTTGTTGTAATTAACAAATTTCAGATCGAATAAAAGTTACTTAATTGAGTTTTTCAAAGAAAAACGAATATTTGCTATTAAAGGATGACTACGCTCTAATTTAAGGTAACAAATATCAGAAAACATAATTGTTAACAAGAATACAACTTTTTTTTGATTGGAGAACAATGAAAGATAGTTCCAGACCACTATCATTTGATTAATAACTACTAAAGTATGAGTGTGGGTGTAGCTATGAGTGTTGTATTAATCCCACACCCACTCTTCAAGTTAATCTGTCTGTGATTCTTTCAGTCATTAGAACGAAACTTAAAAAGTTTAAAAATAAAGTTATCTTATGGGACTTTTGAGCAGCGTAGAAACGTATTGTAGTTGTCTATTTCACCTTCAAGACTGATAAAGAAGGAGAGAAAGAGCAGAAAGAAAAAAGAAAAAAGAAAAAAACATTTTGATATAATATTACCCTGTATTTTTACTTCTTTGCATAGAACGAGATGAAAAATACTTCCTACATTTGTGACAGCAATAGATTGTATTCGATGTTATTATGTGAGAGGAGACGACCAAAAGAAAAACATCATCTATTCTTTAGACGGTAAGACGACGAAGGAAATCGACGCTGCAATAAACTCTCAACGTCAGGTCTTTCAGATATTGTTAGAATGACAGTTTTATTTGTCAGTGGAATACCCCGAAAATTTTAGCTCAAAAGAGTGTTTCGTTCTCGAGATATTAAAGTCTCAAAAATCACTCATATCTCACGAAAGATGGAAGTTTTCTATTTTTTGGGACTTTCTTATTTCGGGTAGGAAATATTCCTTTGAGCTGAAATCTTCGGAGTATTGCACTGACAAATAAAACTATCTGTGCGCAAAATCTCAGGGCGAAATATCGTCATTTGATTTATTGGTAAATACCAAACTATAGGCTGAAATCCTAGTCGAATGCCTATAATTCTGAGCAGAAAGCCTGTGTACACTGAGACCTACCTTATGCATAGAGTTCAAACGCAAAGGCGATCGTACAGTTGTGTAGATTCCCTTGCAAGATATCAGGAAGCATAGCGCATTGTTGAATCTATCGGTGGCTGAAAATGATTTTGGTCAACTTTCTGAATCTAGTCACATTTATTCAGTAACTTGTTCTAGAAGATGATCTTATAAACACTTGCGTCTTTAAAATTACTCTAGATCATCTATCAGGCTCCACGTCAAGATATATGATGGCAACTACTAGACCCCGCATCAGTTGGCACATTGATGATTACGAAAGTGAATTTTTTTGTTCGACAATGGACGAAAAGTACATAGAATGTTTGTTCTTTGCTGTCGAATCGCATGATGCGACTGTGGTCAGATGTTTCACCAAAGAGCACCTGCGCCATTTATGTCGAATCCGTCGGCTGTTCAACTCTGAATGGTCATCGCCGGCACAAGAAAAACAAACTGCCTACCAGCGTGCATGCTTTCTCGGCTATACGGACATTGTACAGTATATGCTGGAAGCCGGTGTAAAAGTTGATCAAGAATTCTCAACTGGTGGTAATGGAGATACCCATCGAAGTGCCTTCATGTTTGCCTGTCATTCGGGCTCACTGACTACAATACGTGCATTATTACAAGCTGTCGCAAGTAACTACGCTGAGCATTATAAATGTAGGAACAGAAAGGCCTTCTGTTCTTCGTTCTTTGCAAAGCAGTATTTAATTCCGCAAACAAGTTGGGTCGAAGAATCGTTTTCTACGACAGATGGTTTGGAAATGGTCTTTCCTATTCACTTCGCCATTGCTCGAGATAACTTGGAAATGGCAAGACAAATAGTTACATCTCCCAATGAGGAGCTAGAGACACACAATCTATGGGAGCCCTTTCGACATGGAGGTTTTACTCCTTTGCATATCGCCTGTTTGTTCAATCGATCCCTTGTCATGATTGAATTATTGCTTTCGTTTGGTGAGGCCGAAGCTAATCCTGTACTTCGAACATGTAGTCGCGGCATGTTTGCTGATCAAATGACAAGTGATCAAACAGTTATCGAGTATCTTCGTCCAAAACGTTTGTGTATTATTGCTGCATTGGAACGAGAACGCTTAAAAGACTTGGAACAAATGGAGTCTGGAATACCCTATCCAATTTTCATCAAACCGCTCTCAGGTCAGACATTAACACTCACTGTCACTGGTCATACAACGATCGCTGAACTCGTACAATACATTCAGAATGCATGGGGTATTCCAGCGGATCATCTAAAACTGCTCTTCCAGGGTCGTTCGTTAACAACAGACGAATGGTTAAAAAAACTACCTATTGTACACCATAGCATAAAAAAGGATTCAATTCTACATATTATATGTAGAAATCCTAAATGAGTACGAGCTTCACGAACATGAACAAAGACAAAACTTCTTTAAAATTTTTCACTACACTATCGAAGAATAAACAAGATTATTAATGATCATATAGCTTGATTGAACACTACTCAAAACTTTGGTTGAATCTTGTCAGAATTTTGAAATTTCGTGACCACAGGGGTGTGGGTGTGGATGAGTGCGAGTGGTTTTAATATAGCTTCTGCACACCCACACCCTGAAGCATATATTTAGGTGATCCTCAAAAAGTTGCTAAGGGTGCCTGTATGTAATTCTTAAAAAGTTATAAGAAGCATATGTATTAGTATTAAAAACAATACGAATCTGACACTCGTAGGTTTCACTCTAATTCATTTGAATTAATAAACTTCATAGGAAAGATGAAAAACCGATAAATTATGGTAAAATACAGAATCTAATTTGACTGGTTCATTTTTTTGCTATTTGAAGTGAACCATATTTATTTGGTTCACTTCCTAGGACCATAAAAACAGTAAAAAAATTTCTTATATATGTCAGAAGATTAAATAGCTTACTTGTAATCTTCAGATTATTTGAATGATTATACTGTCAAAACTACTTGTAAAGATTCGTGAACAAGGTTGATATGCCTCATGATTTATTTGACTCGAACTTCATCTTCATCTTCAGATAGTTTTCTAAATTAATTCAATAATAGAACAGTTTTTCTGTAAGACGGAAAGTTTAAGATGTATGAGTTACTTGATAAGTTTCATTCGAGACAGTTATATATGAATGCTCATCTTAGGATATTGAATTTCCTTTTAATGAATAATATATCGTCGCCTTTTCCTTCTCTACTGCTCGTATGCGACATCTAATGTACTAAAATTATAGTGATCAAAAGAAAAGAATAGAATATTACACAACAATATAACTGATGGCTTTTAAATGTCCAAAGAATTTGTATGTCCAGTAAGAAAAATATCTTTTCATATCTTTTAGAAACGTTGTGATTGGTTATATCTTGATTGGAATGCTACTCGCATTTTGTTTGTTTATTCATATATTTTAATTCTACAGTGGTTGATTTTCTTTTTTCAAAATTCTAATCCTACTATTTAAATGTGTGGTCTTCATTTGCTCTTTTCGAACATTTAGTTATTTTCTATTATTCTTCTTATTTTGATAGAAATATTCATTCATCATAATACTGTGAAATAGTTTGTTTCAGATCACTATCGAAAACGACCAATCTAAACATTTTTTATCTCATTCAATTATTCTTAAAAAATAGAATTTAGATTTTTATCTTCACTTCGAAAGAGCATTACTAACATCAAATGCAGTCCATGTTATCACGTTCACTCTCGTATAGCACAACAAATTTGTCGAAAAATCGAAGCGTTCTTATCGTAGGTGCAGGTGTAGCTGGTCCCGTATTAGCGTATTTTCTTCATCGTTATGGCGTACGACCTGTAGTAGTCGAGCGTGCACCGCAACTGCGAACAACTGGTCAAACTGTCGATGTGCGTGGTGCCGGAAGAGAGGTCATACGACGCATGGGTATAGACCACATAGTTCGCGAAAACATCACTCAAGAGGAAGGAGTGGCTATTGTTGATAGTGCGGGGCGCACACGAGCCGCATTCGACGTGAAGAGCTTTGGTGATCGAGGTTTCATCGCCGATATTGAAATACTTCGTGGTGAGCTAGTACGTATAATTTATGAGCACAGTCGTAATCATACCGAATATATCTTGGGTGATCATCCTTTATCGATCAACGATCGTGGAGATCATGTGCAGGTTACGTTTGCTAGCGGTAATGTACGTGAATTCGACTTGGTTATCGGTGCTGATGGAACGCAATCAAAACTCGCCGTCTCGTCTTTGGGAACAATACTTCGATCCATTATCTAAATATGTATACTGCATATTTTACGATTCCCTACAGTCAGACAGATGCCAGATACGCACGGTGGTATAATGCTCCCAAAGAACGAACATTGATACTCCGTCCAGATAATCAGGGCAAGACGCGTGCCGTGTTATTATTTCGCACTCCACAGCGTGGTTATGAAGACCTTGACGTAGATAAGCAAAAAGAACTTGTACGAAACGTATACGCAGATGCAGGCTTCGAAACACCTCGGGTACTTAGTGAGATGAAGAACGCAGCTGATTTTTATTTTGACGCTCTTGCATATATCAAGATGGATCGATGGTCTAAGGGACGAGTTATCTTAGTGGGCGATGCAGGTTATTCCACAGGAGTCAGTGGTAGGGGTACAACTCTGGCCTTTATTGGCGCTTACATTCTCGCTGGTGAGATTGGTCGCCATCAAGATCATACAAAGGCTTTCATACAATACGAAACACTGATGCGTCCATACGTTACTGCAGCCCAAGAAATGACTCCAGGATCAATTCGCTTGTTTATGCCAAAAACGCGTACTGCGATTGCGCTCAGGAATACTTTACTGAGTTTTGCAGCCAGACCTGCCGTTGCTGGACTTATTAAAAGGCTCACCGAATCAAAGGCGGCTGAGAAAGTGACGCTTCCGGATTACGAGACCACATTGGTTCAACAATAGGATGCTCCATTGATCTTATTTTTTTGTTTTGTTACATGAGTAATTGTAGGATTCTGCGTTTCTTTTATTACTAGAAAGAAGTGAACATCACGTATCTTTTCTTATACAGAGTGATGCAGAAGTGCTGCATTTTCTCATGGAAATCGCCAATAATACATCATATTTTATGTTCATGTTATTACAAGTTTTCTTCTTAATTGGATTGTGCTCTTAAAAAATAAATAAATGAATGTATGAAGTGAACCATATTTGTTTGGTTTACTTCCCATGACCTGAAGATACACAGATATGATTATACATTCAAATATGGAGAGTAGCGAACTATTTAAAACAGATCTAATTATTTAAAACAGATCTAATTATTCAGAGAAAGAAAAGATTTCTGCATTACATTATTTTCAAATAATCACTCAACCATTAAGTTGCTTGTAAACCTCTCATGATGATTAAATGGAAAAGAAAAAGCTGTTAAATCTTACAAACGAAAGTATTATCAATTATTTGGATATTTTTTCCTGAAATGTAAATGCATCCGATCGTCGACTGAAGATCGATGTGTGATCACTATTTTTTGTTCATGATTACTGTCTCCATCATTCAAATCATGAATCAGAAAAATTCTATATCTAACCAAATCTAATTTTGACCCCAACATATACAGAGTACATTAACTAATGCATTGCAGTTTACGTGATGAAGTACACTTTTTCGTGGGTTCTATATTAGTGAATGTAATATAAGTACAGGAAGATTACATTTAAAGAATATGAGTTAGTTTTTAACATAAATAAGACACAACAATACAAGAAATGCTACTATGAACAATTGCCAGCAAAATGGATAAAGCAGTAGAAGAACGATAGGAATTAAAGCTAATTATTCACAAGCACAAATTTCTGTTTAAATTTGGTCTTATCAATTTATATTGCCACTTTTAAGTTTTACTTCTTATATGTAAGAAGGCGGATTATAATTTCTAGAATCCAATTGAATATGAATTATTTCGTATTCCAGGTATATCTTTCATGTTTCAAAAAATGCAGTAGTAACAAAAACACATTTGCGATACCGTTATAGTTGTGGCGCGATCTGCGTTTAGAGATCTGTTACACATACTTGAAACGATTAATCAAATACACAATTTATTCAATACTGCACAATTAATACGTACCTGCAAGTTATTAGTTCACTTGTGCATCTTGTTCTACTTCTATATATGTGGTGATCTACTATATACAAAGAATCAGCACCCATATAAAAAGTCTCAGACTAGATGTAAAACCATTAATTATCAAAATCATATATTTTTAAAGAAATATTAATGAAATGGCAGTGCAAAAAAAAGTTCATCTAAAAGAAATTGGCTCCAATACTTGAAAGATTTGTCATTTGAGCTGCCTGGCGAATAAAACTATCATTGGATTATGCACATTCCCTCTTTCACTACACTGTTGGCATATGGTATGTTGCCGGCTCCATACAATATATTGTCTTTCCATTGTCCCTCGTATCCATTGCCATTAGCATAAATGTAGATACCTTGACCTGCTCTGTTGTTTTCGCTCCAATCTCCTGTGTATTTATCACCATTTGCAAAATCCATGTTACCTTTTCCATGCTTCTTGTTGTCTTTGAACTGCCCCCGTGACTATTCATTTATCGCATAGCATGGATGCTATTGTAGTATTCAGCCATTTGCAACAGATAGATGAATGATATATGAATATCTTGACTCGTACCGATCACCATTAACATCAATATAGACACCGTGGCCTGTTATGTTGCCTTCTATCCAATCACCTGTGTATTTATCACCAGTTGAAAAATCCACTTGACCTTTACCATGCACTTTGTTGTCTTTAAATTGTCCCTGTAACTATTCATTTATCACATAGCACCGATACTATTGTAATATTTAACAATTTACAACAGATAGATGTATGATTGATGAATATATTGACTCGTACCGATCACCATTAGCAAAAATGTAGATACCGTGGCCTGTTCTGTTGCCTTCGATCCAATCACCTGTACATCTAGCGCCACTAGCAAAATTCATGTTACCTTGTCCATGCAATTTGTCGTCTTTGAATTGCCCCCGTGGCTGTTCATTTATTGCATGGCACCGATACTATTGTAATATTTAGCAATTTACAACAGATGAATGAATGATGTGTGAATATCTTGACTCGTATCGATTGCCATTAGCATCAATGTAGACACCTTGGCCTGTTTTCTTGTTGTCGACATAATCTCCTGTGTATTTATCACCATTTGCATAATCCATGTTACCTTTTCCATGCTTCTTGTTATCTTTCCATTGTCCCTGCAACTATTCATTTATCACATAGTATGGATGCTATTGTAATATTCAGCCATTTACAAGAGATAGATGAATGGTTTAGGAATATCTTGACTCGTACCGATCACCATTAGCATCAGTATAGACACCTTGGCCTGTTCGCGCGTCTTCGATCCAAATACCTATGTATTTATAGCCATTTGCATATTCCATTTGACCTTTACCATGTTTTTTCTCGCCTTTCATTTCTCCTTCGTATCTGTTACCCCAATGATCAATATGAATATGCATCACTGAAGCTTGAACATTGGTGGGCAGATGAGTAGATGCAGTGGTTAGTGTGGGCGTCGTTGTCATAGTTTTTATAGTTGTCGATAGTGATTCTTCTTCGTCATCAGTAACTTCTTGCAAATGGATTAAATGCATCGGTGGTTGATCTACAGAATCACTAACAACACGAAATCGTGTGCCTGGACAAAGAATGACTTCATTTTCATTTGGACAATTGGCATAATTCGAAATATCTTTTCCATTTTTTGCTTCAATCATAAATAATGTTGAATTGGATCCAAGAAGATCCTTGATAATATTATCAGAAGTCGAACATGAATTGATGGCCCACCAAGTAAATTCGTCACCTTTCTTAAAGTTGCTCGTTATATCTATCGGAACACCACGCCATGGATGCTTTCGAACATTTGGTAACTTTTGTACGGCTGCATCGAATAGCTTAAGATAAGCAAACCATGGTTTTAATGACGACCGATCTTCAGCAAGCAGTGCACGATTAATCATTCGACTGAAACTACTTTCTCCCAGTTCCATTGTATAAAGATAAATAGCAGCTGACTCATCACGGGTAAGTCCATGTTCGGAAGGAAAATGACATTCGTTTTTCGCGATTCTAATAAAACGATCCAGTTGATCAATTGTGGAAGAGATTGGTTCAAGAGCTTTTGACAGAGAAACTAATTCATGAGTCAAGTAGCTGTAGATAGGTGGCAGCTGTTTTGAAGTTGATTCGATATCGGTAAAACGATGCATCTTAAATGAATTAAGAATGATTAAATGTATACAGTCGTCTCAAAAAAAGTAACTGAGTCAGTTATATTACACAATGGTAATAGTGAGGCTAATTTTAAGATAAAGAGTTTGTCTCCTTTTTGTTCTTCAGAAGAGATAAAGAAAAAAACCTCTTGTGTTTTGTATGTGTAATTTATTTGCTTTCTTCTTTAGTTACATGACAAGTCGATTTTTATCTATGCAGATAAACGAAGAAAAGGAAGAAACCATGAAGTGAATTTTTTCTGCAGCTCGCACATAAAAATAAAATGTATTGCATGTACGTTTCGTAATTTCTTGTATCTTACCGGCTGTGAAAATAATTGTGTTCTTCTTTTTTCCATCACAAAAAAATGTATCGCAAAACTAGTTATTATAGTATGAGAAATTAATACAAAACGAAAAGAAAATTATTGTTGACTTTATTGGCTAAAAGATTCAATCGGTTAAATTTGAGTCGGCTATATAGCGTTGTTTATCCTTCCTGTGTTCATCTACTTCTATGGTCGTATTTATAGATCTATTAATCAATATTTTATTTTTTCTCGGAGACATCTTTACAATGATAAGAAAAACTTCAAATATTCTTAATGCGCAGTCTCTTTTGCAACATGTATACTTTGGACAGAACGAAATACTTCTCATTTCATAGATATTTCTATTAAAAACGTATAAAATTACGAAAAGAGTTTTTCCGTCGATTTTAAACTAAAATTATACTTGATTTAGAATTAGTTCAGTTCATGATTAGAAGATAGGTGTGGGTGTGGGTAGAGTAAGAACAGAACATGTTTGGTCACACCCACACTCACCCCGTTTTATATTCATCGACTATGGACATTCATATATCATTATCCGTATCACAAATTTTTGTATTTTTCTAACTGTATTAAATGTCATTCGAATTATAATATTTCGCCGTATATGCTCTTATTGACATTTTATTTCAGGTTTTCAAACATTAGCAAATATCTTATTAATGTAAAAAATTGGATTAGATTTCGTTACTCTTCTTTATTTAATTCATAAGAGAATTTCAAAGCAAGACTCAGTTTTCGAAGGAAGAAAGTGTCTTTATTTTCTCCACCCACGCCTTCATCCTTTACCTTTCTTAAAAGTTGAAATATAAAACCTATCAAAACAGTATATTGATGATTTTATTAGACTAAAAATGCTATTAGAGCAAAAGAAAATGATTCACATTATAAATATCAAGATATCGTACATGAATTTAATTGAGAGTTGATTATGAAAAATATTATTTCAGTCTATAATCATACAATGGCGTCATTTTTGTTTCTTCGAAGAGAGCAAACAAGCCCGTCTCCATATGCTCGGACGTGATTTACATAAATAGATGATTATTAATGGGTTTTTTTCTACGACATAAAGAAAGTATCAGATATATATAGTCAATAGATTATATTTGAAATTTAAAAAGGAATATTACATTTCTTCTATCATACCTATAAATACTCGAACACAGAACACAAAATATTCATTTTGATTAGTCTGATAATTTTATCGAGCAATACATCGAGCGAATCCACACTAATGGAAAAGAATAGTATCACTCGAGACCGTGTTGTTGACAATGATCGAACTTTTAAGGAATATTCTTGTCAAATATGTCAGAATCTATTATGGAAACCCAATTCATGTTCATCATGTCATCGAATACTCTGTGAAAAATGTATGCAAAAATGGTTCGAAAATCCATTGAATAGAAATTCATGTCCATTTTGTTCTAAACTATCTGAATATAAACCATGTTCATTTCTTGCTCAACTCATGTTATCTCATTTACGCATTCGTTGTCGAAACGAAAAGTTAGGTTGTAAACAAATCTTACCTTATAAACAATTAGAACATCATGAAACTGCTAATTGTCAATACTTAAGTGAACAATGTGTGAGATGTAATCAATTAATACTTCGTTCAAAACTTGTTGATCATCAACAAAGGTCAGAACAGTGCATATCCTGTCCAATTAAATGCACAATTTGCAAAAACTCTTTTGAAGGCATCGATTTTCAAGAACATTTCACTGAATGTTATCAACAAAAAATTGATCAATTAAACACAAACATATATTGTGATAGCAATATGGGAAGAGATATTCCAGATAATGAACAAATTGCACCTAATAGTTCATTGATATATTTAGAAAAGTCATATGATAATATTGAACTAGTTTTTGAAAATTTATCACCAAGTTGTCTATATTTCTTGAAATGGATCAACTTAGCTAAACAAGCACGAGAAAGGAATTGTGATTATTTTTCTTATTTATTAATGATGCTAAAATTCATTTTGTTAAACTGGGTCAAAATTCCGTCCGTCATCTGTTCGAACATATGCTTTGGTGTGTTCATAATTTCACTGATGATTCTCGATATATATATTGGTTTTTCTAAATTGATTAGAACATATAAATTTTTAGGAGCGATTTGTGTCGAATTAATAATTTTAATTTTAACATATGGAAAGTTCATGACCATTCAATCATTTTCTGATCAAACGATTATGTTTTGTTTTATAATATTTACTTTTCTTCTTGGTTGTTTATTTAAAATACCATTAGAAATATTCACGACAGACTATACATCAACCCAGGCAATAGGAGACATGACTGTATTTTGTCTTTTTCTATTTATAATGAAATTAATCTTATTATTAGTTCGTTTATATTATTCATTTATACCAACACATTCGGCCATTACTCTGATTGTTTTTATTTATTATGATCTGGCATTTTTAATTGTTTCGCCTGATATTTAATAGATATAAACGAATCAACCACTAACATCAACCAAAAAAATTCAAAAGTGAACAAAACAGAGTGTTTTCCTTTCTTTTATTTATAACACAGAAATTCAGAAAAATTAATCTTGAAATAAAAATATTTAAATAAAACGTATGATATACTTCAACAAAAAAATTTTAGATTTTTTTATTCGAAACTCATTTAAACATTGTCAAGAAAAATAATAATTATATGATAATGATTTATAGATAAAGAAGAGATGCATCACATCGTTAAGATAGTTTCAATATGAGAGTAAGCGTGCGGGTATGGGTGTAGGTGTGAGTGTGGGTTTGGGTGGTACTCTTCATTCACACTCACACCCACACCCACCTCACATTTATTAATGCTCTTTCTTATCATCACCATCATTTCCATCTTGAGGGTGTGGGTGTGGGTGTGGGTGTGGGTGTGGGTGTCGAAGTATCGTACTTGTTTCATTTACTATCATCCACACCCACCCTAATTACAGCACGCCATTTTTCTTCTCATGATGTTACTTCAAAAAGAAATACCATTATTTCAGTTGCATCATATATCTAGCTTATCTTTATATAGGTTTCCCAGGTAAACTGAACGACGACAAATGAGTACAATAACTCGTCATTAGTAGATGTCGTGAAAGTATACACTTTCAAAATTATGAATGTAAAATATTAATCAATTTTTCTGTAAGTGCACTGAAACTCAGTCAAAGAATTACGAAAAATCAAAGATACAATGATAAAACTACTAAACAGATATTGTTATTTCCCCATCTCTTTTATATTATTTTCTAAATAAACTATAATTATAAATAGTTAAGTTTATGTGCTCCCCCAAATATTTTAATTGTTTCGGAAGGGAGGGAGCAGATTAATTCCCCAATCTCACTCCAGGTTTCGTTACTGCTCACACCCATAAAAGGAACTGGTCCATATACCCCCCGCGAGATTTCTTTTCTTTCAATTATTTTTTGGTAGAGACCCATGTGAGGATACATGATCACCTAACCAGAACGTGGACTTTTTCTGTTTTAGAAAAAAAATCAATACTTTATGAAATAGGTCATGTTCAATAAAATATTGACTATTTTATTATATCATACCCTATATCTCAGCTATAGTTGCATGAATAAGCACCAAATTTTTAATGCATATACAACTGTTTATTCCCTACAAAATATAATTAAAACCATCATATTCAATTACTTTGTTGATGAGTACTGGCTATCATAAAAAATTGTCTTTTTAACCCTAATTTTTGAGTGCATGATAAAGATTGTTTAATCTATAGCTCTATAGAGGTTCCGAATTAAAATGTGAAAGTTTTACCAGTAATGTACCTTCACATAGTCTATCAAATAGCCGAGAAAAATTTTAGAAAAGTTCATGTTCGCTAATGTAGTAATTCCAACTTCCTCAACAAGATGATAAGTGACGTAATGCAAGTAATCAGGCGATTTGAGTATTTCCTACTGACCATTCGCTTCTCGACCTGAGATAAGTCTGAAAGTGATTGTGACAGATGCAGAATCAAATTCTGCATCAGGTGGTGCCATTTAACACGGGGTTGAGGACGCTTCGATCAAAAAGGAGACGGTTCTGGGTGAAATACTAGGTGGAATCCGGGAGTTCACCAGTATTCCTTGCAGACATTCGCCTCTATACTTGTGATCCAATCCAAATCGGTTCAGATCGATGCAGAATTGAATTCTGCGTCGAATGGTGTCATTTTAAATGGAGGTCATCAACCAAAAAATGGGGGTTCTTGGTAAAATACTGGCTGGAGTGGTAGTTTTACCCAGTATTTCACCCAGAACCTCCCTTTTTGGTAGACGACCACCCTCACAAAGTACACCATTCGACGCAGAATTAAATTCTGCATCCAACACAATCATTTTTACACCCATCACTAGTATAGAGGCGAATGTCTGCAACGATTAATGGCGAATACCCGAATTTCACCCAGTACTTCACGGAGAACCCCGAATTTTTGCTGAATGACTCCCATTTAAAATGATACCATTGGACGCAGAATTCAATTCTGCATCGATCTGAACCGATTTGGATTGGATTACAAGTATAGAGGCGAATGTCTGCAAGGAATACTGGCAAAAACCCACACCCTCACCCAGTATTTCACCCTGAACCTCCTTTTTTTGGCCGACGACTCCTCCCCTCCCCTTTCAAATGACATCATCTGATGCAGAATCAAATTCTGCATCTGTCACAACCACTTTTAGACTCATCACAACTCAAAGAACGAATCTCAGTAGGAAATATTCGAATCGCCTGATTACTTTCATTACATCATTTATGATCTTGTTGAGGAAGTTAGAAATACTATATTAGCAGACATAAAGTTTTTTTAATTTTTTCTTGACTATTTGATAGACTATGTAAAGGTACATCACTGGTAAAAATTTCACATTTTAATTCGGAACCTCTATAGAGTTATAGATTAAACAATCTCTACCATACACTCAAAAATTAGGGTTAAAAAGACAATTTTTTATGATAGGCAGTACTCGCCAATAAAGTAATTGAATATGATGATTTTAATTTTATTTTATAGAGAATAAGTAGTTGTATATATAGTAAAAAGTTGGTACCTATTGATGCAACTATAGCTGAGATATTGAGTATGATATATTACAAAGGGTCAATATTTTACTGAATATGACCTATCTCTTAAATCATCGATTTTTTTCTAAAACAGAAAAAGTCCACGTTCTGGTTTGGTGATCATGTATCCTCACATGGGTCTCTACCAAAAAATAGTTGAAAGAAAAAATATCTCGCGGGGGGGTACAGCCCATGGAAAATGGACCACTTCCTTTTGCTAAACAGAAATTTTCCTTCTGATAAATATGAGTATAGTGTTGTCTGTGTCTATCAGTGAGTTGATTGACACTCATGTTTCCCTTGTCAAGTTGTCATACAGTGTTTTATTAAATAATTTTGACGTTCAATATTTGATCATTCTGATGTCAATTTAATTAAATTACAATATCGCGTATAACATTTATGAAACGTTTCACTTATCAAGAACAAATTCTACATAGTATGTTAACTTTTTAACTTCCGAATCAGAGTGCAAGAATTTCTAAAAGAATACGTTAAGGACACAATGAGTGGTTAAGATTAATATGCACCATCAAATACATAAGCTAAAAATGTACAATCTAGTAATGTATATTAGTACATGTTTTCAGGCATCTATCTACAGTATTTCTATTCAGATCTTTTGAGCCTCACTTCTCATCGATTATAAAGTTGCAGTACTTATGTCACAGATATTTTATTTTCACAGACAGGTTAGTATTAGTAAAAAAACTCGAATGGTCATGAATTATCAATTGATTTTCACTATGCTACTAAGAGCTAGTTAATTAGAATTTTTCTTTATATCCAACGATATTCTCTTCAAATTTTTAGCAATCATGATATGTTCAATGAAACAGAGGGTTGATTCGTTCACTTTTCTAATGAATTGAACTTAATTCATGCAGAGTTTTGGAAAATTTCAACACCCGTAAAGGTTTTTTTTAAGAATAATAAGAAGCTCGAAAGCTCCCTTTTATCTTATCGCTTTTGACAGGAATCAGTTGTATTCGGAATATATATCATCGATCAATGCAATAATTATTTACATTTTAAAGTGAGATCTGTAAAGCCGTATTAACACGAATGTTGGACTAAATGAAAATGTATTTATTTTTCAAAATATTATATATTATGCTTTGGTGGTGTGGCGAGACGCAGCCAACAGTCAAATATCATGTGTATAACAGTGATGTACAAAGCGAAACGAGCTTGCAGCATGATTGTTTGTATTACCATGTAATTGATGATATCGTTCGACACAATGGAGCGAAAAGAGCAACGTTGGAAATCATTCCCTATTGTTTTCGTCCCACTTTTGGATATGATAAGCTGATCGCGATGGATGCGACGTTCGACTGGATGACTTTTGAAGAGCTAAGTGAGTTGAATATATCTAGTGATGACCTGTATGAATGGTCAGCGCCGATCGATCTTATCGAACGTTATCAATCGTATGTGGATAATCCGAATGAAACAATATGGATCGAGAACCAATTCAGATACTATAATTGTTCCAAGTATTCATTTGGACAATACTGCCAGTTTTCGTTCTATTCAAAAATATCTTTCACCGAAATGGTTAATACGGTATTCACGTCTAAATTTCAGGAGGGTTTACACGAAAGCTTATTAGAAATATGTTATGGTTCCTTGACATGCACTAGTTTAGTGTGTCTTGATTGGCGTGAAGTGTGCGATGGTAAATGGGATTGCCAAGATGGAGTTGATGAATATGGATGCTCCCAGATTGAAGCGAATACCTGTGACCAAAATGAGTATCAGTGCCACAATGGTCAATGTATTCCTTTAGAGTTTTATGCTGACGATGTCGTCAATCCTGATTGTTTAGATGGAACAGATGAAGAACCAATGTTTTCGCATCTTCATAGACATGGAAGTTGTTCCGCGGATCCAGCTTTTCGATGCGAGGAATATGGATTGTCAAATACTCAGAAATTCCCTTGTGGTGATGGATCGTATATCATGTATCCACTCATGGATATTGATTCGAAACAATGTGAAAACTATCGGGATCGTCAAGTTGAAAAACATTTTCTATCACATGCTCAAAATCCATTGTTAACCGAGAAGTGTTGGTCAGCTATGATAAACTTCATAGGAAAGAGCGTTTTTTTCTCATCGTTGTTCGACAGAAGCTCACCATGCAATAAGAAAGACAACCGCTGCTTCGACTTTATTGAAGAGAACTGTAATCAATCACTATTTTTCTTTCCTGCTGCACCAATTCTGTTCGGGGATGTATATTTAATGTTTTCATCTAATCGAACGATCAATAAAAAGCGTCAAGGAAAGCCGGTATATATCTGTTCTTCTCGTATGAACTGTTCATCTATTGCTATTCCAGCGATATTCATAAATGGATCGATATGTTATACCTATGATAAATTCAGTATAAATACAGATCTAGAAGATGTTTTACCAGTAATTCATGACATCTTTAGACCATGCTCGGACACGAAAATGCTCGAAGGATCTGAATGTAATAGTACTGATCGGTTTCAATGTCATAATTCAACTAAATGCATTCCCAACAGACGTGTAGCAGATGGAATCAAAGACTGCCAAGATGGGAGCGACGAATATGCGACGAACTACAGTTGCACACTCAATGATATTCGTCGATTTGTTTGTTCATCAGAGAATAAGTGCGTTTCTCATCTGGTCGTACCGAACGGAATAAAAGATTGTCAGGGCGGAGAAGATGAAACAGTACTCGTTAGAAAGGAGGCTCTTTCTTTCACAACTATGTGTGACGGGTTCATTGAAGTTAATTTCGAAGCCTTTATTGAAAATCGAGAATCTGAAACAGATGAGACCAATTGCGACTATTGGCCATGTGATAATGTGTATACGCGATGTGATGGCTTTTGGAATTGTGAGAACGGTTCGGATGAGATGAACTGTCAGACAAATGGTTCGAATGATTGTGCAGTCGATCAGTTCCAATGTGTTTCTCCCAAGACTTTGTCTATGATGTGTCTGAATGTCAGTCAAGCTGGTGACAAGAAAATGGATTGTCTTGGGGGCGTAGACGAGCCATTCTACTGTCGTAATAAGCATTTATCATTTCAGGATCCCGAGGCACGACGATATCAGTGTTGGGATACCGATTATTGCGTCTCCTTGAGTGAGATTTGTGATGAGATTTTCCAAAGCAAGGAGACGATGGAGAATTGTTTATTAGAAAAGAAAAACCGTTTTTGTAAAAGCACAAACTTATATGATGGATGCTCCAACGATGACTTTGAGTATATCTACAATAGTTACGATTATCTTTTATCTGTCGACGAAAGCAATCCGATTCAAGAACACTTATGTAAATTGGAAGATTGGATGAAGCCACCTGTAGTTCCATTTGCTTTAGAGTTTAGTGAAACAGTCTCTCGTGGTACAGCGGAATATATTACTATGTTAGCACCAACTCTAGATTGGACGATTGTTTGGTTTTGTAATAGAGGCATTGCTATTCTGGAACGTAATGTCCGAAGATGTCTTTGCCCTCCCAGTTATTATGGCGAACGATGTCAGTATCAAAGTCAACGTGTTAGTCTGTCATTTCGGATCACCACATTAGAACTGCGCAATATCTTCAATTTGGTAATTATGTTAGTAGACAATACTTCACTTATTCATTCGCATGAACAGCGTACATATGTTGCTGCACGTGATTGTGATCTTCGATTTGATCTCGTGCTTCTCTATGCTAATCGAACGAAAGATGAATCAAAAACATATGACATAATTATTCATGCATTTGAAATGTTAAACTATCGTACTAGTTGGCAATTACCTGTTCGTTTTCTGTCTCTACCTGTATATCGTATTTCGACTCTTCTAACAATTCCATCTGAGCCTTCCTTAGCCGTTGTGCGTTGTCCTATAGATTGTATCAATGGTGAATGCGTGCGCTATATCAACACAGAGAATTTTTTTTGTCGATGCTGGCAGAATTGGTCGGGAATATCATGTGAAAAAGTCGAGAAATGCAATTGCGCACCTGGTTCTGTCTGTGTAGGTACATACGATAAACGTTCGATCTGTGTTTGTTCTCTCGACAACTTCGGACCCCGATGTCTACTGAAACATCGAGTTGCATGTCAACAGCAAACTTTATGTAGTCCGAATGGAACGGCTCTTTGCGTACCAGTAGATGTGAAAATGACTAGTAACGAAGGACTAAGTGAGACCTGTATTTGTAAAGAAGACTATACGGGTAGTTATTGTGAGATCGGAAAAGCACGCATTCAGATTTCCTTTTCGAAATATTTCAGCATTCCATCTTCTATCTTTATACATTTCATTACTGTTACAAACAAAACTGATCCACCGTTGCGCACGAGCATATTTAAAAAGATTGCACTTCACCACGAATCTGTGTTGGTATTTTTCTCTTATCGATTCAATATGATATTAGTTGAATGGGCTAACAACTTCAACCTCATACATCTAGATAATAGATCTCAACTATTATCATCCGATGTATTTGCAGTAGTCGTTCATTCCCCTCAACGTTGTAAATCGATTAGCGAACTGTTCAATTCAACCATTCTTGCATATCAGTCATTACGTCGTATGAAATATTATCATCTACCATGTAAAGAGAGCGTTGCTTTACAATGCTTCTATGATCAAGAGTATACGTGCATATGCACCCGAGAAAGGCATGTCAATTGTTTTGAATTTGAACAAAATATGACATACAATTGTAAAGATTCCGCCTATTGCATGAATAAAGGCAACTGCTTCCAAGATAAACTCTCATGTCCGTCATCAATACTGTGCGTCTGCAATGATTGTTATTATGGATCTAGATGTCAATTCAATACTGGTGGCATCTCGCTGTCACTTGATGTCATACTTGGCTATCACATTCGGCCGCACATTCCATTTGCTTCTCAACCAGTAGCTGTCAAGATTAGTCTACTTCTCACTACACTGATATTGGTTCTTGGTCTGATAAATGGTACATTGTCACTGCTTACTTATCTAGCAAAGAAACCTCGTGAAGTCGGTTGTGGTATCTACTTACTCACCTCATCGATTGTATCCTTGTTTACAGTAATACTACTCTTTCTCAAATACTGGATTCTTTTCACCACACAAACTAAATTATTAACTAATCGTCTTTTCCTATTAATCACTTGCGTCAGTGTTGACGCTCTCCTTCAAGCTTGTCTTACTATGAATGATTGGTTACACGCTTGTGTGGCTACAGAACGTACAATCACGGTGATATACAACACACGTTTTGACAAGACAAAAAGTAAACGAGTAGCAAAATGGGTCATTATAATACTTCTTACGTTCGTAACGGTCTCGTACCTAGAGGATCCTATACATCGTCGTCTTATCGATGATTTGGAAGAACAACGCACTTGGTGTATTGTTTCTTACTCTTCTGTTCTCCAAGTGATAAATTCAACTATGAATATTATTCACTTCATTATTCCCTTCTCTATCAATATCATTTCTGCCGCGGTTATCGTCATTGCTGCAGCTCGAATTCGATCACTCGCTCGGAAACAACAAACCTTCGAACAACACTTTGCCGACCAACTTCACCAGTACAAGCACTTATTTTTATCACCCATAATTCTTATCGGTCTGACTACTCCACGACTCATCATTGCATTAACTACAGATTGTATGAAATCGGCGCGAGATCCATGGCTTTTTCTTTTTGGGTATTTCATCTCCTTCATTCCCACTTTACTTACATTTCTCGTCTTCGTCTTACCTTCCAAAATGTACAGAAATGAGTTCAGTGATATGTGTAAGAAACTTCGATTTGGGAGGTCTTATGGAAAATAGACAAACAAAAAGACGTTTTAAATATTACAATTTTCTTTATTTTGTGCTTTTTTCAAAATATCATTATAACGGGTACGTCAAGATAAATGGCAGTCTCAGTATTTAGCTGATGATATCTTCATTTGTTTTTCATCCAATCAGACTCTTTTTTTTAAATTCGTCTTTTAAAGCTCTCCAAAATGGTCTTATTTTTATTGGCGCAAATAATTTCCATCATTTGGATACACGTAGTACAATCGATTGGTCCAATTAGCACAACTTTCAAAAACAACAGATTCGCGAATTTTTTTCGACGCCGATTTTAATTGTTGAATCAATGTTTTTTTTCGAGTCGACTTTGTTCCAAACGATGTTGTAGACCAGTTCATTCCAAATGGAATAGTCCAAACAATATAAATCAAGACTATTTGGTGGCCGACAATCCTTATCAATAAATTATGGAAAACTGTCTCGACACCAATTTTGCGTTAGATGATGCGAGTGAGGCTTAGCATCATCCTGCCGACAGACGCAGTCGCTACCAGAAACTTCATTCCCATATTTTAAAGCAACAGGAAACAGTTTCTCGATATGAACAGAATGATCGACTGTTCTTTCGTCGAAGATTACAAAAGGTGTTACACCTTTGAAACAGGCACCAAGCCAGAATACTACTTTTTGTGGAAATTTTCGATACTGCTGAGTGGCACCGTTTCTATCGGCATCAGCACGATTTGCTGCCTATACTCGATCCTTTTGAGAGTTGTAGACACCATCTGTGTCAAAATACTTTTCATTAGAAAAGAGGATTTTCAATGTCTCTTCTTATCGGAAAATTGTTCGAACTCAATTTGCGAATTTTTTTCCGTTTGATCGTTTGATCATCGAAAAGCAATGGTTCTAATACTTTTTTTATAGGGATATAGCTCTAAATCGTTTTTCATTATTCACCGAACATTTGGTTCAGACAGATCAAGCTCCATGGATATTTTCGAGTCGATGCTTCTTTTTTCGGCGTAAACGATATTTCTCCTTTTTAATGTTGTGGTTTGTTCTGACTAAACGTGTACAACCTAGTGGTTTTGATTACATAATAGAGCCAGATCGTCAGATCACCTGACACCACTTTCCGACCATTCTTAAACTAATCTCAGCATTTAAATCACGATAGATTTGTGTGAGTGCCACCTTTTTAGTATTTTGAAAGTACCACCTTTTGAACGTCTTTATTTTTTGAGGGTGGATGTGGGTGTTCTTTCAGTTAAATCCACACCCTTTTTATTAAATATTGCAATACTTAAAACTCAAACATCTCAAGGATTTTACATTTTAATTGTAGCAGCTAGTTGATATTTCGAATTAGATAAAATCATTTTTGAATAGGTGTGAGTGGTTAGGGGTATTATCAGTCTTACATTTCTCTCACCTACATTTACAAGAATCAATTATTTAACGAGTTCAATAGGTGGAAATAAATCAAAATTTCTTTTTATTCAATTGGTACAAAAAAATATTGGATGAGTCTACTAATTAACTAAACCAGGAACGAAATGACAGTGATAAGTGAAAATCAGTGTAAAAAATTTGAGAAATAGAAAAAACCCATTATAGTTGTGAATTTGATTGGTTTATTGAGAATTTGTTTGTCATATTTATCCAAACAAAATTTGATCAAGGACAAACAGTAGTTTATGGTGGTAAATTCAATTCCACATGAGAAGGATTTGAGTTCATTTGTCGATGAATATCAATGACCAACTAATAAAAGAAAAACAATTTATATAATTCAATAAATAGAGATAAGAATGACGAACGTAAATCAACTCATCTTAGATGATACTAATAATTAACTTATCAAATGAACTAATTTATTGAATTGATAAATTTCAGAAACAACAACTCTTACCGCTGCTAAAAGCTAATTTCCTTGAGAAATCTGAATATTTGTAATTTGTGAGGCAAAATTATCAGAAAGATCTGTCTTATATAAGAGTATAACTAGAAAATTCAAAATTTAATGAACTAAATTCTTGCTCAATTCGTTTAAATTTAACGAAATTGAAAATGATTCAAGAGTAGTGGAATAATAGGACGTACAGTTTCTTGGCACAAATGATTAAGAGAAGATGCTCCCAATCGCCATGTGCAACTTATCGGTAATCGTCTCGCATATTTTTCTGATTCTTGATTAATGACCTTCGAGAGTTTTGCCTCCCGTATAAGATTTAATATAGCTGCTGGTATATTGCAGACTAATAAGAAAATAAAAAAAATGCGCGGATCAATATTTCTTCCAAACGTGGGATTTGAGAAAGCCATTGTTAAATTAAAAGTTAGATAGAAAATTCCAACAATAACAATAATCCAAATCGTAAAAGTAGAGCAAATTGACTTGCCGGCTACTTGATTAATATTGGAGATAGATCGTTGATATTCAAATTCATTAATAATACCACTTAAACTATTAGGATAGTTCGTATCAAATTGGTCATTTGTTTTCGAAATAATAATTGATTCACGATTGGATGCAATAGCCATTTTCTCGACAGAGATCAAAAGAAAAAATCTATTATTAATCGATCCAAAATGGCTAAATTAGAAAGAAATCAAGCACGAATAAATATTCAATAGAGATTATCAAAAGAATTTTTTTTGAAAAAAAGAAAACATATGTTTACCCAAATAATACAGAAACAAATAACCATTAAAAGATCTTAACCATTTTATTATATGATAAAAAAAAGAGAACATTTGAACTATGAGTATTCATGTCATTGCTACTTCCATAAACAAAGAGATAATGATTAATAAGTGTGCGAGTACATTTGATCATGTTATTTGTTATTGTGATAACTTTATCAATAACTTATTTGTATGTCATTACTTTTTTCTTTCTTCGCGTTGGTATCAATAAGAGACAAAACATAATTAATACATGAGTTAAGTGTCAATCATCTAGCTTGATCAATCTACAAGGACTTTTCTCTGAGATAAAACAAAACGGAAAGAAAAGGAAAACAAGGCATTGTTGAAGATATGAATGTGAATGTTTCATCTCTTATCTTGATCGTACATCTTAATATCCTGAGAGCGTGCATGTGAGTGTCTCTTGTATTCCATTAGCTTTATCCATATTCTAGCATTAGTTGTTGTTCAAAATGATGGCTATTTCTACTTCTGTTATTATTTATTCCAGGTAAAGAATAAATTATACCTATCAAAAAAACAAAAATTGATCAAAACTGAATTACTTAGAAGATTCGGTCGATGAGATCTCCAAGGCCGTGTACCATTACCTGGTAGAGATGCTGGATCCCAGATATGATCAATATCTTGCATTTGAACAAGCATTAACTCGGTAGTAAATGTCAAGAAAATAACTTAAAAATACAAGATAACATTATTTGGATTAAATGATAATGTTTTAATAGAAGTAGAACAATTTCAGTAACATACCAAGAATAATATTATATTCATTTTTATCTATGAATGATTTATAACTCTTTAATCTTTTATAGAAAGGTCAAATAAATTTAATTACATGTTCTTTAGTCCATTGAAGATATTCATAGTATCAGCTGATTACATTTCTCTTTTTCATATATTTTCAATCAAAGGACATAAAAAATCACTAATATTATTTGTGATGAATAAAAACATGAATAACAAATCGTACGTTCATCATTCGTCTTTCAACTTATGGTTTCTATATTTCATTAGAACAATTTTGTTAAATTATCATTTATTTAATAAAAATCAAAGGAAATCGATTAGAATTAGTTTATTCAACTCTGTTTTCTTCTACATGAATGCTTTTTTAAGTTTATTCTACTTTCATCTAAATATTTCTTGCTCTACAAATAGAATGAAATATACTTTTTTTTACATTCCTTCTTTATCATGAATGACTGACGATATATTTAATTTCAAAAATAATAATAGAAGAAAAAGGAACTCAATTTATTTAGTCGTTTCATTCTGAAAATAAATAAAATTCTAAAAGAATTAATTTTAGAAAGAGTGTGGATGTTTCTCTCAACATTTACACCCGCATGCTTATGGTGCTCGTGGATAGATGAATTGATTGCTTCAGTTTGAAGTCCGTCTTATTCTATTCAGCTTTCAATAATTCTCATGAATTTTCGCATTTAAAATTTTAAATAATTTTAACGTGTAAAATTTTAAATTTGCCTCGATTTCTTATTTGCACAATATAAAATCTGTTTCTCTTTTTCAATAAAAAAGAAAACTTGTGTTACAATTTCTATTAAAATATCATTGAAATGAAGTGTAATGATAAAAAGACCTTATTTGTTCATTTGTCTTTTCCATATCTTTCTTTCTGGTATATGAAATAGCTCATTAAACATGATTACTAATATATATTACAAGTAGCTTTTCAGTTTTTTATGATATAGGAAATTAGTAGAATAACAGAAGTATTTGCGCAAAAAAATTGATGAAAAATAATTTTTGTGAGATATACAATTAAGGATATAAGCAATTAAACATTCTATCTATGATTAAAACAATTGAAATGTTGTTTTTCAAATAAATAATTCTGAAAACGGTTATAAAAATTTGGTTTAGTAATAATATTCTTTTGAAGTAGAAATTATATTGACACTGAATATTTCTTACTTCTTCCATTAATTATCTGCAATATCTGATTCTTTCTTACTTGCGATTTTCATACTGTTTTTTTTTGGTCTATAACAATTGATGTAAACAGTATCTTGAGAAATAATATGGTGTTACTCGAAGACGAAGTTAAAAATCTATTTTCTTTGTTAAAAGCTGTGTACATTGTAAACCAGATATCTATCGTTTTTCAATCAAGTGTCCATAGTGATCTTTAACGATATGTCAATCATAGTTTGTGGTAATCTCTGATCCTTTACCGATCAATGTCTATGTTAGTCTTTGATCTATTATAGGATATTATTCATCATAGGATGCCAGAAATCCATACGGTATTGATCACAGTTTTTGACCGTTTTTCATTGGTGTTTTTCACGGTCGATGACGTTTTCATAACAAAATCTGTCTTAGTATGTGGTAGAGGAAAAAAACTACACCTTCAACTGTTTCAATCCTCTCTTTTAGATTGTGCTTCAAAAAAGGAAAAAAAAACAATTAAAATTATGAATAAATGAATAGAAATGGAGAGGACATCATCCACCCACAGTTTTCCTGCTTTTTCTTTTTATTCAAAAATTGTTTCATTTCTTTCTCTCTCTCATAAAAAGAAGTCAGTTATTTTACTCTTAACATTCATTTAATATGAAACACACAATTATGTTGTTTATGTTGGTAACCATCATCATCATCGCACAATCAGATTCACAAAATACTAACACATTATTATTGTCTCAAATAAATGATGTTCGATATCAATGCCTCGTTTCAGGTTGTTCGATTCCCATGATTATCTTCGGAACAAATTCAAAAGCTTGTCAAATTGCTTGCTTAACAAATATGAATTGTCGTATAGTAACATTTGATCAAGCCAATAATAAATGTGAACTATTTGCTGATGTTCCCAGTCAATATGGTAGCTTGATAGCACAAGCAGATTTTGTGACTTTCATTGCTATTGATAATCGACAACTATCAGCACGTAAGTAATGACTTGATATACGTTTGTTAAAAGAGAATATTCGTCTGTTCTCTATGTATTCAGTTCGTGTAATCACTAGTATTACTAAAATTTTCAAGGTATTTCTCGAAGTTCAACGGAAGGTCGATAGGGAATCGATATGACGAAGGGCATTGAATCTTGAGGGTGTGTATGTCAATGTAAATCAGAGAACACTAGAAACATATATCCACCTACACCCGATTACGACCATTAGTATAGTATATAAGTATTTCAATATAATTATTTTTATTTTAGCTGTGGCGACGAGCATAACAACATCCATGTAAGTCTGAATAATAATTTATCCAGCTATAAAATGAAAGCTTTAGAATCTGTAACACTGACGGGCATTCAGTGGGTTTTGGTACAATATACTCATCCGTTATCCACATCTTCTTGAGTTGCTATTTTGATATAATATATTGCCTCTGAAAAATACTCATGCAAATCTATATGTTTCACATATTTTCTGTGGGCTTTATAATTCAAGCCAAGAAGAGTTCCATGCACATTGGCAGTTTGACACAGATGTATTATTCGAAAGTTGAATTTAACTTTCCACTATTACACACGTGAATAAAACATCGTTTTATACATGTCACTTTCCTCTATAGGGCCAGTTTCGAAAGCAAAGGTTTGTTAATGAAGTACTGATGGATACTTTTTATATAGATAAATAAATTTACTTGTACATATTTGATTTTTTCACTAGTACAAATTTGCACAGCAATCGTTATTCTAGAATTAAACCTCTACTTATGTATCAAAAACATAACAGAATATATATCTGTTACATTATGACACAGACAGAAAGAGAGAGTGAGAGTAAAAAGTTTTTCAATATGACTAACTATGTAGAGTATCTCTTTGGGTAAAAAGTTGAATTATTGTTTGTTTGTAAATGTTATCGTTGACACATTCACACAGAGGAACAGTAACTGTACCAAGTGCGGCAACAACTACAACGATCGCAGCAACATTATCATCAACTTTATCAGCGATATCCACACCTACAGAAACTATAACTACAACTTCATCAATTTTATCTTCGATATCAGCAACAACTACAACTACAACAACAATCGCAGCAACATTATTGTTAACTTCTTCAGAGACATCCACACCTACAGAAACTATAACTCTAACTACAACAACCACAACTACAACAACCACAACTACAACAACCACAACTACAAAAACTACAACTACCACTACAACAACAACAACAAAAACTACTACCACTACTACAACTACAAAAACTACTACCACAACTACAACTTCATCTACGTCAGCAACAACTACAACAACCACAGCTGGTGAGTAAATAGATTAAATAATTTGTAGTACTTTTTGTAAGTGTCTAATCAATGTTTACATTGAGTCTGACAGAAACGACATGGTTGCAAAGCCCTTGGAAGATATGTACATTTCTTGAAAACTACTGATAATCTAGTTTTTTTAATCTAACTACCATAGACATATATTTTGGTAGTGATAAGGTGTGTGTATATCCAATCTAACGCACATTTACAAGTGAGAAGATGGATGTGTTGATATTTTTGCAGTTGTTCTCATTTATAAGATTTGATTTGTAAAATAAAAAGAATATGAGAAATAGAATATTTTTGGGCCTGTTTCTTTAACATTAGCATGATTATAGTTGACAATATTAACAAAAACTCAACTTCGATAATATTCACACCCACATGTACACACCCAGACCCACACCCTCAGGATAGTTTGAGTTAAAATTTTGGATTACTTCATAACTTAGTATGGTCTATCTACTGTAGAAATATCAGTCGAATCGGAGATGATTGTTAAGCAAGGTTATATAGAATCGGGGGCGTGTCTTATGTGCAATACTTCCTATATGATTGGATTTGAAATTCTTTTGAAGAAATCCTATTTTCTCACTGCTTTTTCTTATTCTAGGATGGACAAGCACAGGGCACATGGCAGTCGCACGATATCATCATGTAGCAGCCACATTGTTAAATGGAAAGGTATTAGTTGCTGGCGGATATAATGGTGTTTATCTCACGAGTGCTGAACTATATGATCCATCGACAGGTACTTGGGCAACGACAGGAAATATGAATGTTGCACGGTATTATTTTACCGCATCCATATTATCAAATGGAACAATATTAGTTACGGGTGGAGAGAATGACGATAATCTACAGAGTACTGAACTGTATACTCCATCGACAGGTACTTGGACAACGAGAGCAAACATGCATGTCGAACGAAATTGTCATACAGCAACCCAGTTATCAAATGGAAAAATATTAGTTGCTGGTGGATATAATAGTGGTACGGAAAGTAGTTCAGAATTGTATGATCCATCAACAAATACTTGGACAATGACAGGAAGCATGCATGTCGAACGAGGTTGTCATACAGCAACCCAATTATCAAATGGAAAAATATTAGTTGCTGGCGGAGACAATAATGCTGCTGTCAATGGTGCGGAATTGTATGATCCATCGACAGGTACTTGGACAACGACAGGGAGCTTAAATGTCGCACGATTTCTTCATACAGCATCCATATTATCAAACGGAAAAGTATTAGTTGCTGCTGGATGGGATTCTAATAATTATTTCAAGAGTGCTGAGTTATATGATCCATCGACAGGCACTTGGACAATGACAGGAAGTTTGAGTGCAACACGAGAAGTTCATACAGCATCCGTATTACCAAATGGGAACGTATTAGTTACTGGTGGAGAGAATGACATTTATCTCAATGGTGCCGAATTGTATGATCCATCCACAGGCATTTGGACCAAGACGAAAAACATGACTGCCGCACGAGAAGCACACACAGCATCAATTTTATCAAATGGACAAATATTAATTGCTGGTGGAAAAAGTACTGGTAGTATTTATCTGAATAGTGCTGAATTATATTAATGGATATTGACAGAACTATTTTTTCTTTTAAACTGAAATATTAAATTTTATTTTCTAATCAAATTATTTAATCATGCATACTTCAAGAAATTATTATTAATAAAATAAAATACTACTTATGTTTATCCTTAAAAAAAGCTTGATTGATTGTTCCATTGAAGGTGGGTGTAGATGCTAAATTAATACAGTACGTACACCCACATTCATTTCTATTTATTGAGGGTGTGGGTGTGGGTGTGGGTGGGTGTGGGTGGGTGGGTGTGAGTGTGGGTGTGGGTGTGGGTGGGTGTGGGTGGGTGGGTGTGAGTGTGGGTGTGGGTGTGGGTGGGTGTGGGTGGGTGGGTGTGAGTGTGGGTGTGGGTGTGGGTGGGTGTGGGTGTGAGTGATATAAATAGAATAATCCCACACCCACACTCACAATCAGTTTTGCAGCGCTATTCTCAATTAGCTCACTACAAAATCATTAAAAAAACTCTTCAATGTGCTGCTGAAAATCAAGAATCATGAAAAAACAAGTTTTTCTTCTTTGGCATAATAATATCAATGTGAAGTATTTTTATTGAAACATCTACAAAAAAAACAACATTGAAAACTGTCAATAAATAAAAATAATAGATTATCTTCCTCTGTCAAAGCTGACTTATGAACAAAACTCCATCAGATGTCAGTTGTCATCTATTGTAAATATAATAAATATGTATAATATTGAAACGTTGGAGAAATGATATGAAAGCAATATGTGTCAGACTAAATCAGGTAAAAATATTGAAAATCATTATTTAAAGAAGACAAAGCAACGTTTTCACACAGAGAAAACAGAATTTATTTGAACAAAATATTTTGTTATTCTAAATAGAGTTGGGAGAACAAGTATATCGACTATGGCTCTTATAGAGGGTGTGTAGGTGTCGGTGTGGCTATGGGTATAGCCTCCATCTCTCACCCGTTTTCACGAACCGCATCCACATCCTCAGCGAATTCTATTCCGAACACTCTGTCATTTTTCTTATGATCGATGATCTTAATGGAATGTCACAACCGGAGTTCATAATAGAAAGGGAAGACGAAATGTCACTTTCCCTCAAAATCGAAGGATATGATAGTGAACAGATGGCTAGTGATGAATTTGTTAAAATACATATTTACGAAAGCGATCAATTTTTTGTTATGAGTCAACAAATCAAAATATAGTGCGTGTTATCAATATAAAATAGCTGTCAACATAATAAAATCACGACGATCCTCTTGTTATCTAGTGACTTTTCTCTCTACAACTAGAGAGCATATAAACTGTTGAAAAATCAGACACAATCATTTTTTTTTGTTTCACCAGCATACAATGAAGCTGCCTCTTGCTCTTGTCTTACTTGGTATGTTGCCATTCAGTAATAGTCTTTTATGCGTCACTGATGAGATGTTCAATATGTCTATGAATGGTTTTACCATTCAATTATTTCAACAACAGTTAGACAAACTCAAGATTGGAGAAACCAAGGGTATAGATTTATGTCTCGTCGAACTGTTTCTCGATTATGAAGCAGCAAAGATAAAAGTAGAATTCACTCCAACGTTGGTGCACATGAGTCATCTGGAGGAAGATAAAGTTCAGTTCGATACAATTTTCCGGTTCACGAACAGTGGGACAACTGAACTCCTCAATTTTCTCGCATATGCTTGCTATACAGACAAGTGCGACAAAGAGTTTTCGTCGACTCACATTCAATGGCTTATCGACGCCCAGTATACATCCTTGCATCAATCAGTTAACGCAGCACTGTTGGGAAACATTTCTGACTCAGGCAAGTAATTCCACAGTCGATTTTAAAAACGACTTAAATTACTACTGGTTGTGATATCCTTCTTTCAGTATAAAATCTGATCTAATTACAGGACAGATTATCAGTTAGTGGACGTAATAGGATAATAGGTAAGATACTGAAATGCTTAAACGACATCGAGAATTGAATTCATATCAGCAGTCTTTCAACCCAATGCTCGTGTTGAGACTTCTATGCAAGTATGCAGCGACCAGAAGTAAGAGGATTTTAACTCAGAAATCGAAGTAAAAACGTTTTGACTCGAGAAGAAGTTTGTAGTGTCTGTTGTCAACAAGCGTGCGAGGAAATCAAAATACTCGAGGAGATTACATCAAAGCAGGTGCTCTTATTCCTATCGATGAGCGAAATGCGATAACAACCTCAAGCTGCCACTACTGTCCACATATATTCAATATATACTCATCTCAAAGTGATCTATACCGACGTGGACACGTCAATTGGTATCTCAGATGAGTGATTTTTTGGCAAACATTCAAGACTTATACTTTAGGGAGTTATTCCTTGACTGCATGAAACAATGTTTTGAGTATTATTTACACTAACGTTTAGTGATGTCTTTGATCCCGGTTTTAGTCAATGAAAAATAGAGAATTCGAATCTTAATCTTTTAAAATTTTGCATCTAACTATTGGCTACAAAAAAGAATAGTCTGTTACTCTTCGAAAAGATGTTTTCTGACCGAACTTGTCGAAGATAGAAGTCACCTTGTCTTACAAAAGTATTTCGATAAATGATGTCTGTTAATTTAGTTAACTGTTTTGCCGATGAGTCAACTGCAGAACCATGTGCGACCAAGGTATGCGTTGTATTATTTTTTGACGGGGACAATGAATACGAGCAGAAATGCGGTATTGAAGAAGACGCTGGACAACTTCGTCTTCAAATGACCACCCTTGTCGATCCGTTTAACGATGAACTGGAACATGATATCATACTGGTATGTCCTTACAACGAATGTAACAGTGAGTCCGCTTTCTCTGCAATCCTCGCTGCACTCGAGAAAAACTATGACTTGAATCCAATGCTTATTGCTTTGAATATGGTGGAGAAGCCAGAAGAAACAACGATGGTCTCAACTGGAACCAGTAACATATCAGATACAACGACAACACCAACAAATGGAATGTCAGTGGTCTACACTATTAGTATTGTGTGTTCGGTATTTACTACTTGTCTTTTCTTGTTTCTTCTCTGAGTATTCTGCAAACATTCAAAATATTTTACTCGTGCACTTATGAACTATAGCTATACGTTGACATTTAACTTTCATTGATTGTCACTTAATCTGAGAAATCAATAAACCTAATAGAGAACCCATATCAGGATCATTCTTGACTGTGTGAGTGTGCGTGGATGTGGGTAAGGGTGTGAGTATATGCGTAATACTTTTGGAACGGTAAATTCCACTTTCGCCGAAAATGTTTTTCGCCGATGGTGAATTTCGCCGAAAAAATATCGCCGAAAATTTTTTTCGCCGAAGATGAATTTCGCCGAAAGAAATTTGCCGAATAAATCTCCCACCGAAAGCCCATAAAAACTGCATATAATTGGTCTCATAGGTAACAATTGTGTTTTAGATAATTAGTCTATGATACCAAATCAGTTGATCTCCAAGTGGAACGACCTTCAAGCTAGACGGTTACCAACTGACTTGGCTACCAACTCACATGGTTACCAACTCATATGGATGGATGTGGATGTGAGGGTGTGTGTGTGGGTGTGGGTGTGGGTGTGGGTGTGGGTGAAGGTCTGGGTGTGAATGTGGGTGAGGGTCTGGGTGTGAATGTGGGTGAGGGTCTGGGTCTAGGTGTCTATCATCTCACAATCTACCCGCACTCATCCATCTGAGTTGGTAGCCAAGTCAGTTGGTAGCCAAGTCAGATGGTAACCAAGTCAGTTGGTAGCCAACTCAGATGGTAGCCAAGTCGGTTGGTAACCATCTGAGATGGCAACCAAATGACACGGGAGACATCTGACTTGGAATGTGGCCCACTTGAAGAACACTTGATTTGGTATCATAGACTTATTATCCAATACATAATTGTTGCTTGTAAGATCAATTCGGTAAATTTCATTTTTCGGCGAACTTCCTTCGGAGAAAACTAGTTTTCGGCGAAATGCGCCTTCGGCGAAGGTGGACTAAATCTTTTGGAACACCTACATCCATCGATATGAGGTATTCTGTGTAATAATTCACTCAACAACGAGTGCCAATACTGAAGTTGATATCATTTGATAGTTCTCATTAAACTGCATCGATTGATATGTAATGTATTTATCTAACAACACTGTTATAGTTTTTTCACTTCAAAAAATAGGTGAGTAATGCTAACAGAAGATATTCTGTAAAACAATTAACTCAAAAACGTATGCCAACACTTAAATCGATCTTATTCGATTGAACTCGTCAATCTGAATCTAAAATATTGTCCTCAAGTATTAGCAAGGGTATTAAAGCGAATTGGTTTATAAGGTAAGCTGTATACATCTGATTTAGGGAGTTTTATGAGTCTGACTAATAATGGATATATATATATATGTCATTGAATAGAGCGTAAAAAACTGCGTCGATTGATAATGCATCTTGTTTGTGGGATAACTAATGTAACGAATTGGTTTACGATATATTTTAGAGTTGCATATTTTCTCATGGTAAAAATTACTAGTTTGATGTTTATTCACGTTTCTTCGCATGTATCGCAACATCTAAGATCACTATTCGATAGATCTCACTGAGACGCATCTGGCACACATCGTTTCATAGTTAGCGCAAGTGACGAATCGAATTCTTTTACCAAAAGCTCGAATCGGTTGCTACCTTTCCATTGCATTATTTGATCAACAAACGATGATAAAATAGACTATCTTTTTTATCTTATTTGTGTCACGTATCAGTTAGTATTGTATTAATAAATGTTGTCGTACATCGAGAATAACAGAATATCTAAGTTTGAAGCATCAAATCGTTTCTATGATGACTATGCTAATCTTAGAGGTTGCTTTATCGGTTAACCTAAATATTTTGGAAAATAAGGAATGAACTTTATGCACTTGATTCGAGAAAATTCCTCATCAGGTAACCGAGTCAATTCGGATATAGATAAAGATAGTTTGATGTGAATGAAGTTAACATCGTATCTCAATCAAACGTATTCGTATTTTATTAGCAATCCGATTCAGGATGTCTATTCTTGGTCCAGAAACAATTCGGCGAGCTCAAACCAATAATATAATCGCACTTTCTATAGAGCAAACCAGAATTCAAAAAATCAGTATAACAAAACTTGTCCATTTACGCCTGAAACTTGGTTCAAAATTGCTATTTTTGTTCTAAATATCATAAGGTTGAGACTAAGCTATCATGACGCGTCTCGTTCTCACCAAAAGACTTCCGTGGGTGTGAGTATGAGTATGGGTGT